CATCTACAACATTCACAGCACACATAACAGAAAAATGCACAGCAGCCATCAAAGCTATATACACCATCCGAAACCTGCAACTATTATCGCTAGAAACAGCAATGAAAATATTCCATGCAAAAATTTGTCCCATACTACTATATGGCATAGAGATAACCTGGGAAAAACTATCCAAACAAACCCTGCGGAAAATGGAACAAGTGAAGGCAAGATACCTTAAACTAGCGCTAGGGCTTCCTAAGAACACACAATCCAGACTAACATACGAACTCTGCAAGGAAAATTTCCTATTAGAAGAACTCACATATCAACTGCCAAAGCACAAAAAACTCAGAGGAAGTTATCAAAGAAAGAAAACAAAAAAGAGAGGAAATATGGGAAGAGTTCTACAGCACTGATGCAATGACTGACAGAACCTGGACAGGACCCAACAGAAAATTACGACACACAATTACTAGGTTGGCAACACACGGATTCCACCACAAGATATGCAAGAACGAACGTTTCCACGAAGCAAATGACGCGTGTGTGTGTAAACACTGTGATAAAAAGTGTAGTAGATACCACATTACCATATGCAAAAACCTAACCACATCAATAACCGAATACAGTCGCGAATAGAAAACAATTACTCTATGCACATTGTGCGCATTCCCATATTATATAACCTAAAATATAAGAATGCACACAAGTTGGCAAGGTTGCAGTCTATGAACTTTGTAAACAGCCGACATTTTGATGAAATAAAACAGCTTCACCTAATTATTTGGGTCTAAAAGAACAATTACATACAAACTGGTTCACTGAATTATTCGGACAACGAAACAGCAAAATTTGCATTTCTAATAACATACCCGGTACCAGTGGCATCCATTCCCTTTCCTCTTTGGCGCCGAACTGTAATAAATGACGGCCAATGACTGCTATTTGTCAGATGCTTCCTACAGTTCTGCTTGTGATTGGCAGATCGCGTTTTATATTTTGGCGGGACATTTCAAGAACCATACGCACATTTTACTACCGTTCATTGTCATAATTAAAGCATTTACAACAAATAAATGCAATATTTTCATTTATTGCATATATTTTATTTCCTGAATTATATTTCACTCCAGTATTCTTTTTATATTGCATATACAGGCTGTCGATAATCCTGAATAGATGCTTACTAAAATAACCCAAAAAAACATAGTCATGAATTAATTTAGAAATATTTTGTAGTCCGTGATTCTTGAATATGTAACGCAAAGTCCTCGAAAGTACGAACAAGAGAATGATGGGTTCGAATTCCATTCAAGGCATAGTTATATATCAGAAATGAAAGCATGTGCCCATGCACTTCAGCACAATCCAATCCTTACACAAAATAACTAGACAAGCAGAACCCAAAGTTTCAGCTCAATTCAGTCCACACAAATTACATACTCATTCCTCATCTCTCCTATACATGCTACATGACCCTTGCAGCGCTCCTTCTTAATTTGATCAACCTAATAATGTTCTGATCACAGTACAAATTATGACGCCCTCATTGTGCAGTTTTTTCCATCCTCCTTAGGTCAAAACAGGAAAATTCCAGTCAGTATCATTCACAAACATCCCCATTGACTGGCAGCAGTTCAAAACCTGAAGGGGGGGGGGCACAACTGATAATCCAGATAAAAGAAAAGAATACAGCGATTTGCAAGCGGTACTCACTGCCAAATAATAAGAACAATATACTTTCTTCATTTTCAAAATTTAACTGTTTGCTGAAAAGTTTGTTGCAGTACTAATTACAGATTAAGTGACCAAATGAAATAATACAAGCACAAATGCACTTAGTTCAATACAAAATATAGGGAGATGACATCATATCAAGAATCTGACAGTGGAGACAGGCATAAAGTTCCTTCAAAATATCGGTACCTTCCTACCACATCTGAACGCATACACTTTAGAAATCTCAAATCTTATATGATTCAGACCAATAGATTTGATAGGGCTGTGTCAGGTGTGGCCAGTGGCTAGTGCCCTCATTCTGAGACATACTGAGGCACCTCTGGACGACCACTTCCATGCAGGAACTGACAAGGCACAAGGCTGTAACTTTTCATGCAATGTGCATCATATGTGGGCAGCCTGTGGCCTATGGAACAGGTAGGGACCAATGTTAGAAGGATAAAGATGATTATGTGGGGATGTAAGTCATTCACTGCTGAAAGTTGGTTTTTACTTACTGCTGTATCAAATTGAGAAGTGATGTACAGTTCACAAACAAGTTAAGTACACACATTACTGACAGAGAGGCAAGCGTCTTTCAAGTTTCTGATTAATTTGTTTTATTCAACTTTAAGTGTATCAATACAGCCATCGGGTGCTACGTTTGAGCCAGCAGGGCTGTGATATAAACATTGTTGTGAGCCCGCACTTCTGCCTTTAGCTGCTCCATTTTATCTTGCAGTTCTGTCTCACTTGTGCCATCTGTATGCAGCTCCTTGCACCTCTGCAGGAATTTCAGCATGAGCCGTTCACCTTCCTAAAACAGAGATGTTGTTTGCATATTTGTGTGTCCCTGTGAATCAAATAGGTGACATACTAAACCCACAGAGCTAGTTCCATGATGCCGTATTAAATGCACCAAAATGCCTCACCTTGATGATCTTGCGCTTGTCCTCTGGGCTGCTGCAGCTGAAGTCCAGCCCCTGATAGTCTTCGAGCTCATTCTGCTTCCTCTTTGCATACTGCAAGACAAGAACTCACGTCAGAGTCACGTTATGAAACTTCATGGCTGTGAACTGGGACAGCAAACTCACCTCTATGACATGCTTCGGGAAACGTGCCATCTCGGCAACATGGATCCCAAAGCTCTGGTCACATGCACCCGGCATCACTTGGTACAGCAGAGTAAGTGAGTCCTCAGATGTCACAGCAGTGACATGCAGGTTACGGAGTGTTGCCACCTCCTCTGCCAGTTGAGTAAGTTCGTGGAAGTGTGTGGCAAACAGGCAGAAGGCCTTAACTTCTTTAGCGAGGTGCCTGCGAAACAAATTGTCAGTTGATAGCACTGTCTGCCAAAACCTCCCCCAAACACATACAAATTTCCTGTACTTACTCTGCAATAGCCCAGGCAATGCCACAACCCTCATATGTCGAGGTGCCACGTCCCAGCTCATCAATGATCACCAGTGAGTTGCTGGTAGCCGTCTGTAAAATCAGTTATCTTACACAGTAGCTGTTCAGTTCAACAAGAGATGGAATTTCTTGAGCAGTTAGGTGACTGTCAGCTTCTGAAGCAAGACTGGCACCATGTGGTTATTTGTACTATAACTTCCTGGGCTGGTAAGGGTCACATCCTAATGCTAAGGTATTAACAGTGTGGCTCATGACTCACCCTGATGATAGCTGCAGTCTCCACCATCTCGGTCATGAAGGTGGACATGCCCTTGATCTGACAGTCATCTGCCCCAACACGTGCAAGTATTGCATCAACGAGTGACATTTCTGCCTCGTCACATGGCACAAAGCTGCCAATCTGGGCAAGAAGTGCCATGATGCCAACTGAACGTATGTAAGTGCTCTTGCCACCCATGTTGGGACCCGTGATGATCTGAAAAGTGCATTCACCTGTAACAAAGACATAGGTTCAATTCCTAACACATGCGTCATCATGCTATTCTGCAGCACATCCTCAGCATTTCACCTACTAAACCGGAAGCATAAGCGAGAGAAAAAACACCAAAGTCATTACATGGGTTATTTTGAGTGACAGATGTTGCATCAATGTCTGTCTGTTTCATCTGTTATGAAGCCATTACTGAAAACTGAGGATATGCAAAGAAAACTGATGATTGGGTGAGGCAATTTCATTTGGTTACCATACAAGTACACGCTCTTATAGCAGTTTTATGGATCATTTATTACTAAGGGCTGACTAACAGCAGGTTTCAAGTGGAATGAGCCGCCAGTTATTTCAAAACAATTTGTTCCCAGGCAGATCAAACTAGTGGCTATGTTGCGATGCCACTCCACCTCATCCCTCTCACTGATTTTCTCTCCTTGGGATGGCACTTGAAGGAACCCACGATTACTGTCTCCTTGGATGTCACAAAACGAAGTGTGAGACAGGTACTGATGTTCAGGGAAACCTGCTCATACCCATACGTATATACTAGGCTGCAAATATCCAAGATACCAATCTGTACTCTTTGCAGAAATTTAGAGAGCAGTAATAACCGAAGGAAATATGAAATGTTTATACAAAATCTTGGTTAGGAAACAATACAGAGACCACATGACCTAGGTATTGAGAAACATATTTGGAAGTTGGGCCTTTTTGGTGACAACAGTGAACAGCTGGGCTGCCTGCATAGCTTAGATTTCCCTACGAACACTTACTTACCGTGCTTGAAGTAGACATCATTGGCAATGAAGGAGGTGCCATCTTGCACTTCCAGGCAAGGATGGCGCACCTGCTTCAGGATCAGCATTCCTGCACCTTCGTCATGCAGCGTCGGGCGGACGAATGGCTTTGGAGCAGTAACTGCCACTTCTGCAAAGTTTGCCAGCACATCCAGGCATGCCAGCACATCACCTATTTGCTGCAGAGTGCCAGCATACCCAGCTGTGAAGTGTTACCAACCATCAGTTCACAATAAAACAATGAAATTTGCATCAAACATGACAAAAAAGATGCATGTACTCAGACCTGAGAGGAGCAACACAAGGTTCAGTTTGTTGACACCATGGCTGCAGCGAATATTGCTGGTTTCTCACTGTGCAGGCCCAAGTTCAACAACAGGGCAGTCCTTGTGAGAGCTGAGGTGAACTATGTGACTATGGGGCAGATCATCCTCTGAGCACTTCAGTCTTACCTTGCCAATTCCCATTCCACCAATCCTCCATACTCACGTGTCATCATGAATGGGTACAACAAGCCCATTAAAAAATTTTATACAAAACTCTGGCTGGAAGAGACCACTTTAGGAGTGTACACTGAGAAACTGAAATAAGTTGCAAGGATGAAGCTTCAGGATCCACATCACCAGGGGGACAGCATGATCCTCACCTGCAATGTTGACAATCTCAGTCACAATGGCTTTCTGCTGCTCTGCATAGCGACTGCGTGCCCGCAGGTACTCTGAGTTCAAATCGGCCAGCACTGGGCTGTGAAACCGAACGCCACTCTTGTTGGTGTCCAGTGTCTCATAATTCTTGTTATTGCGCAGGACCCTCTCTTCCTGAAGCACAAAGCAACTCTTATGTCAGCTAATGTTCCCAGCAGGAAGACAGAAGTAAGGCTTCTCTCTCAGTGGTACAGCAGACTGCATGAAAATGGTTGTGTGACATGCAACTCATTTGTCTGCTGCCATCAATTTCTGTAAGACCTCTCCCACTCACGTGACTAAAATTTTGGCTTCAGCAACCTTTGCAACCACAGTTACATGCCATTGGACAGCTGTTTAATTTCATGGCGAGTTCTTTTTATTATTATTATTCTGGGTTTGCTGCTAATTAAGTGATCGATCCATTCAATGTGTGAGCATCAAGTGCAACTGCTTTCAGGTGTGCTCAGCTTCATGCAATCAGTTGCCCCAGCAGGAGAGCAGCCTAACACGAGAGAGACCTCTGTTCCCAGGACAAGCAGAAGGTTTTGAAAACAGAATATTCTGCAGTTACACCACATCTTAGCAAGACTGGCCACCACCTGCGAACCAGGTAGGAGACAACAAGGTTATGAAGTAACTTCAGGAAGGGGGTCACATAATTTACCAGGGGATTCCAGCATCTGTTTGGGTATTCCTGGTGGCTCCCATGAGCACTACTCTTTCCCAAAACATTGTGAGCTGTGTAAGAGTGGGAAGTCTGAAGTGGCTTATCAATGCTTTTGCAATGGCCTATGAAAAATGCCATACTGAGACACAAATAGATGCAATCAGGGCGAGACGTGAACTAAAGCACTTTAGTGTCCTGCAAAAACCCAATATGAATTGTTTATGGTGCATAAACTGATGTGCACATTGCAAGGTGTCTCACCTTCAGGGTGACTCGAAGGAAGTAGCCCATTTGAGCATTGGACTCCAACTTGATGGTCTTGTTCGGTTCCAGACCGAGGTCACGGGCTGCACACGTCAGCTGCTTCTTGATGCGCTCCTCCAGACTATCCATCATCTGACGCAATTCTGCACACAAAAACATGTGCACTGCTGGCAACCTTCTGAATTCCAGACATGCCATCTGGTGTGTGGAAATGACATTATACAAACTAACACCAAGCGTCATAGTGGAGTGGGTAGCATTCCTGTTTCATGTTCAGAAGGTCCTAGGCTCAAATCCCGAACCGCATATCAGATATCCTGACAAATTTTCTGTGATTTTCCTGGGTCTTGCCAGTCAAATGCCAAAAGAGTACCTTAAATCAGGCCATGACCACTTCCTTCCACATTCTTTCCAATTCATTATTCACTGACCACAGTCTGAGCTACTGGTACTGCTGTTAAATAAACCATAAGCGGACATCATGGTAGGCAGATGGCTGCAAGGAACCAAATTAAAACGAACTCTGATTTCCCCTGGACCTTCACATGTCACAGGGTGGCTTTACCAACTTCACCCTACTACTGACACTACTGCTGTCCCTGAAGTAACATAATGAAACAAGTGGTCATGATTTAGACTGCAGTACAGACCATGAGGTCTCACAAACAGACAGATAGACACCAAGAAACATCTTCTGTCATTACACAGATGTACTGACTCTGAGTCTCAGGCTCTGGTGGCTTGGTACATACTTGCATTCAAGGAGGACATGCAGGAAAGAAGAAAGGAAGTAGCAATGTCTGGTGCATGGGAATCATCAGTTCAGCTCTCACCTTGCAGATCATCGTCAAAGCTTGGTTTGACCAGGAACTCTCCACGGTCCACCTGATCCATGTCGAGTGTGGTCTCCACCATGTCCTGGAAACGCTGCATATCACTCAGCAAGTCCGTTAGTGGCTCGATGAACATGCAACGCAGTGCGGGAAAGTCGTCATGCCCATCCAGCGATTGCATTAGCTGTGGCACACGTCCCACTGCCTGGTAGATCCTGCGGCAGTGTCAAAGAGGGCTCTTGACATCTGTTAATGCTGCTTAAAAATATTGTTCCAAATCCTGCTTATATATTCTTCAGTGACATGGTCGGTAGCTAAGAAATCAGTAACTACGATGATTACTGTCATCTGGGACATGACACCATGCAGTCTTGACAGATATTAACCAATGTTTTGGAGGAACCTGTGGCCTTCATCTTTGGGGTCAACTATAGACATCCCAGGCATGAAGACAGATCTTCAGTCTGTAAGAATCTGGAAGCAAGAGGTCCATTTCCAAATACTATCCCAACATCTGAATTGCAAAACTGTGAGACACAATTGATACTGCTGGTAACCCACACAAGAATTGAACTGGGTCCACTGTGACTGCTATATTATGCCATGTCATAGCTCAGGTGGAGGCCCAGGGTAATCCATGTAGGACTTCTGGTCCATAAATGGGCACTGGGGCAGGTTTCTCTCCCAGCATTTTGGGTTTCCCTTGCCAATTTTCATTCCACCAGTGCCCCATACTCATCTATTGTCAGGGGCTGGTACTACAGGTCCATTTGGGGCTGCAGGGCCAAGTGACTCAGTCTCAACCAAATCCTACAACTCCTGCTATATTAACCTGCTTGGTCCTCTGCCTTCTGTCTAGCTAATGAGAGGGCAATGGACTCTTAACTAAAGTGTGGCCATGCTCATCTCCAGAATCATAACCTCTCAACTCTCCTGCGTATACATTACATTGGCAAATGGATGAGTCAGCTCTGGATCCTGCCACATCTTGAACCTGGGGTATGCATATGGGGCTCAGTAGGCAAGATTCCAGCATCTTATCTAAAAGCAAATGAACAAAAGTTGCAGTTCAAATTCCTTTTGTTACCTTTCTAAAATTACCACACGTTACACACCTGTAGCAATCCTGCAGGCCTGCCTTCTTGCGTCCTAGCTTCTTGGAGAGGGCCTGCAGGTCAGGGATGCGGCGCAGATGTTCGTCTCTTAACGCCTGGCGCATCGCGGTGTCCTGCAGGATCACTTGCACCACATCGTGACGCTCGGCAATGGCATGGCGGTCCCTCAGGGGCTGTTTCAACCACTGGGCCAGTAGCCTGCACACACAAACACACTGGAATGCAACACAGACCCCGTCAAGAAATGAATGTATGAGGGTCGTACTGAAAGTCATGAGCAACAATTTTTCGTAAAGTAACATGCTTTATTACTGACAAACCAAATACACCACCTCAATCTACAGACGTTTCTTTATTTTTCCTCATAATCACCACTTTTTGTACACATTTCTCCCAGTGTTCTGGGAGTTTGAAAATTCCCCTTCTGTAAAATTCCGTTCCAGCCATCCGAAGACACTGATGCACTGCTTTCTGAATTGCCTCCCTTGCCTCAAAATGTTGTCCACGCAGCTGATCCTTCACAAATCCAAAAAGATGGTAGTCGGAGGGTGCCAGATCAGGGCTATAAGAGGGGCGTGGAAGAACTTCCCACCCCACCTTTTCACTGACCTTTGTGGTCTTCGGTCAATAACCGCGGTACCCAATGAGCACAAACTTTCCTATAGCCCAAGCTTTCAATCATCTTCTGTACTGCACTGTGCCCTATTCCAAGTTTTCGGGCTATTGTGTCCATAGTCACACGCCTGTCATCTTGAATAATCTCATCCACTCTTTCCTTGTTGCGTTCAGTTGAGGCTGTTTGAGGACGACCATTCCGAGGCTCATCTTCGATGCTGGTGTTCCCATCTTTAAAATGTTTCAGCCATCTTCGAACACTGTGCACACCCATGCACACACTTCCAGAAGCAAGCTGAAATCTCTGGTGAATTTCTGCAGCAGGGATTTCCTCTTTCACAAGAAATTCGATGACAGCACGCTGGCGAAACGACATATTGTTGTCAGCCATTTTGTTAGGAGCGATACTGGTCACGTGATGCAAGTTATTGATGTCACAAAACATTCAAGGTTAACACAACATCTGGTTCCACCTACCACCGTACTCTCTTTCGTCTGCTGTTCCCAGGTTGCATGCAAAAAAAGTTGGTCACGACTTTCGGTACGACCTATGTACAAAGCACTGTGTGGTGCTCACTATCTTCAGTATGTCTCTGCCCATCTGTCTGCAAGAAAAACTGACACTCAACTGATTTTCACAAAATGTGTTCAGCATAACTAATTCTGACTGACAGGGCTCCCAACATCATGAGATGACTGGCGGATTCTTTGGGATATTTAAAGATGCTGTTTCAGTCACAAATATGACATGGTGTTGAATGAGATGAGATGGTGGCCATGGATGGCAGGGAGGTAAGGATTTGCAAACAGGCAGTTCTGGTTTACTTGAAAGTACTAATCAGACACTCTCTTGGACAGACTGAGGAAAAACCATCACATACATCAGAACAGTCAGCAGCCCGATGAGAACTCAAACCTAGGCCATGTACAGGATAAGACAGGTAACAAAGTCCTTCTTGACTTACCTGTGACCCTGTGCAGTGCGACACTGGTCTATAAGTCCCAGCACACTCCGGTTACGATTTGCAGCGCCAGAGCCAGGAGGTGGAAGCAGACTCAGTGCACGGATGGCTGCAGCATCCATGCGAACGAATCGGGTATGGTCCAGTGTGGTAAGGGTGAACTGCCCAAAATTTCCCTGGTCAGCTCCCAGCTGGCAGCATAAGTCAGACATGTGTGAACAGCAGTGCCGCTACATTCATGCCATCCACTGAACCCATAGCTTGGTCACTAAACCAACTGAGCTGCCTGGCTCCACATATTTCTGCATATATTGTTGGGTGTTTGCTAGGCAACATGACAAGAAATTTTGTGGGATTTGAACAAATATTTTATTGGTCAGTTACTTTTACACTCACAAATACAATTATGCCACTTATAAAGCTCTTTAGACGTTTCTTCTTAAATGTTACAATGTCTTGCACCACTGATCTTGGTGAAGTCTTGTCTGTATCTCTGTAAGCTCTGTGTAATCTCTTTGTATCTCGGCTCGTTATTACACCTGCTAGGCTCTTGAAATACAGTCATTAAATTATAATTCATTATTGCTGGTGTTAAATACCAATGACAATGGGATGGACAAATATAAGCGATGCGAAGAGAATATGGGAGAGAGGAGGCAAGGAGATAAAAGTAAGAAAGGCACAAAGCACATGATGGGCATTTTATAACTATCAGATATTAGTTTATATCAGAGATGATGATGCTTCATGTTGAGTTTGTGATGGTTGTTACACTGGTCTAGCATTATTAGGTCATTAAGACCTGTCCCTGATCACACCACTAAGCGCAAAACTTCAGTGTATGATATAGGGGATGAGGAAATACTTTCCCTGATTCCATTTACCACAGCAATCATGTGCTGACCCCAAACTCTCCTACTGAAACCACACCATACGAACATTCCTGAGTCCCATGCAAATCAAATGCACTGCAGAATTACACCCCAGTGCAGTGCAAGTGACCCAGCATGGAGCCATTGTTACATTCAATGTTTGGCTGCTACCCAGCCATGAGAAACATGCAGCTGTGTCAAGTACAAGAGGAACACAACTCACGAACTCTCTGGTGGCAGAATCTGAAGGTTACTGAATATGACCCTGAGCCAGTTCTATCCACCTCCCATTCTCACAACCCACTTGTTACTAATGTGTCAGCTGTTATGAACATCTTACCTCAAGATACTTGATAAGCGCAGCGAGGCTGCTGGTTGCCGTGGTGAAGTTCAATTCAGGTAGAGCCAATGAATTATGCTGTTGTCCCTCCATGAAGAGCAGGAGACGGTTCAGATCCTGGGCCAGCCCATCAGTGGAGAACTCTGTCTTCTTGCGCTGTGTCACAAGGACACTGCTGCGCTCCATAACCTGTACAACAAAAACCACAGGGGGGAGCTTGTGGAAACATACAAGAGATTAGTAACAGTTCTGATTACTGAGTTTAGTGAAGTACCATGACTATATGGTCACAGCACTGGATCTCATCTAATGACACTGCCTATGTGTCTAATGCTGCCTTCCAAATTCCTTCCTGGCCATCCAAGTGGTTCCTTTCCACGATGTATGCTTAAAACAAACTTGTTCAATTTGTACATCTATTCTATTGCCCTCACACAATAACGTGTGACTTACCTTCTTAACCTCGGCCATGTCCACCGAAGATTCTGGTGTGATGGGGAGCAGCACCTCCTTGGGGCCGAGCTGCACTGTCAGGGCCTCCAGGTTTGAGAAGTGCTGGTCATCTGGGAACTCACACACTGACAGCTTCCATTCAGTGGTGTCTGCAAAGCCCATGCCCACCACCTGCACACAAGTGGGTTAACATTGCTGAAGCAACAGCAGACACGGGCAACATTAAGATTTCAAGTACATGCCATCTGAACTGCACTCAGGTGCACTGCTTTCTCAGAAGAAGTGCTCCAAATTACAAGTGGCACATTGTTCCAGGGTTTCTTCTGCAAACAGCTGACATCCAGCTACTGGCAAACATGGCAGCACCCAGCAGGTCAGGAAGTCTGTGAAAACATCCAATGGACAGAGAGAGAATCCAAAAGGTTTTGGAGGGGAGAAAACCTGAACAGGAAGACCACAATAAAGATGGGAACAAAAGCCTAGGAAAGATGTCACACAGATGCAAATTCAGGAGGAACTTTCAGAAGTCAGAGAGAGAAGGAGAGACTTAGTTAATGAGCCTCACACAAAGTGGAACTGTGTGACAGGTAACAACAGAAACAGAAATGTAGCAAAGTTTTCAGACAGAGCAAACTAAACAGATGCCAGCGATCATATCTAAATGTTCTGTTGTGTAGCTAAGCACAGGCTAAGTAGACAGAAGCCAAGATAGCTGCTGTGAGACGAGGGGGAGGATTACAATGCAAGCCAGAGTAACATCACAAGGCAGTCCTGTGCTACCGACAGATTAAAAATATCCATTCTTGCATGGACTTTACCACACACCACAACAATGAGAATTAGTTACACACAATATGCACTGAACAGTAAACAATTTAAGAAGCAATAACAATGGACTAAATGAATAAGCAGCAGAGAAATGCAAATTCCCTTGGCTCAACTACTGTACACTGTGTCTGAGATGCAACGCTGGAGTTTTGAGAGGCTCTATCTCCAAACACATGAAACACATCACGCTGAATGTTGTACCTTTACAGCTTTACAATCGGGCACCAGCAACACAGCGCACTGCCATGTTTCTTAAGACATGTCATGGGAGTTCTTAGTGCAACATTTCCTGGAAAATGGATTGGCACAGCTGGTTCAGTTCTGTGGCCACCTAGGGGTCCTGACTTGACTGCACATGAATTTTTTCTTTTGGGGCTACATAAAGACTTGTGTTAATGTGAACAAAATTCGGACATGAATCATTTGAAAGTGAGAACAAGAGAAGCCACTGATCAGGTAACAAAAGATGTGCTACGGCGTGCAGGGCAAGATGTGGGATAACAACTGGACCTATGCTCGGTCATGAATGGTGCACATGTGGAAATTTACTAATTGTGCTCATAACTATTTGGGGTACACTTTAAAATAAAACATTAAATCCTTGAATATGTTCATCATTTTTTTCTAAATACTGGTTCTCAAAACCCCACTATTATTTTCTGGACACCTTGGATATATATTCAGTGTAATGTGACAGCATTTCCTAAACAGAATACCTCAGAATTCCTGAAATAAAACTGGTCTATGCAAAGTAGTTATAAGGAAGATAATTGGTGTGACCCACTTAGTTGTCACATGTCAGTTGAGAGTTGAGTTCTGCGACGAAGTCTGTGAAGACAGAACCTGAGCACGTGAAGCTGGAGAATCTCCACTGTCAGAAGCCTTTGCCAGGGAATGACTTATAAAGACACAACAGGCTGAAAAATGTTTAGCGGGTATTGTGGTCATCTGTAAAGTATGGAGATTAGAGACAGTGCCGTAATCACTTGTAGTTTTGAGTGCTGTGTATAAGTGGCCAATAAATCCATTCACCAATCCAAACCCCATCTATAGTCACACACATACATGTGGAAATATTATGGGCTCAAACAGAGTAACTCACTCGTGCTTTAGGGTTCCCAGCAAGGCGCACAGCAATGACCGCAGTCCCCACAACCAGATCCACGTTACTGAACAGGAGGTCTTCAAACTGCACCAGGTTGCCTGGAGATCCCTGGAAAACAGACATGTCAAGATGCACCAAACACTCAGCCCAGTACCGTTAATACACCTGACGTTAAAGAGCAAGCAAAATTGAAAACAATCATTTATGCAGACTGTGTTTCATTCTTTATCAAAACTAAGTACCGTCCACAGTTTCTGCTGCTTCCCAACCATTCCTACCTTGTACTCAAGCGTCCAGTCATTGCTGTTCTTAGTTCCTGAACCCTGGGTCACATACACCTCAACCCTGTACTGTTTCACAAGCAACAGGTCTCTCACAAATGACTCAAAGTTTGACTTGCTCAGCGCAAGAGACTCGATGCGATTATTGTCAGCACCAATGAACTTCACCACGGCTGCTGAGCGGAACACCTCCTTGGCTGCAAAGATGGCATCCGCCCCATGCAAGGTAAAGTAATCCCCACGGTTGAAGAACCGCACTGTAGTAGCAGGCTTCTGCAAAAACACACAGCCACTTGCATTCATCAGGAAATTAAGAAAACTTGTCAATTCAGTTAACATTTAATTACATGTTCTGGAAGTTGCAGGTTTGAATCTTGGGCAAGGGATCGAATCTGAAGTCTGAGACTCTGGAGTTCCTCTGTGAAAACAGCGCAATGTTACATTAAAACAGGCCATGGCTGCAAACGTTCTAAGAATGTACAATCTTGCGGATCCTACAGTGTGCGGTGCTGCTCTTTGCAATGCAGGCTGCTCCAGGATGAAAGGAACTTGTCTCTTGTGCCCCACGTGTCACACACCTTGCATACAGTCTGTGGAAGTGAACTCACAGACTGAGTCTACAAAACAACAGACAAAATTACAGCTTTCTTCAGGTCTTTATGCACCAGCTGAGGGGATGACAGATTTCAAGCCAAGTGGCAGTCAACATTCCCCAAATTTGAACTTCAACTTCCCTATGAATGCAATTTTGGTTTGGTATTCCCAAACACGTGGACACTGCTACATTTATACTGCTCAGCTGATATATTACCGATAATAAATCAACATTCCCGTTCTCAGTCACAGCCATGGACATAAGGTTCGAGCACATGTGCCTTAAGCCCTTGTTGCATGCCTCCAGCAGGATGTTGCTATCCACAGGAAGTGGTGTGCCAACTTCCTGTTTATTGGTACACAACCTGATCCACTGCAGCAGCATGAAGTATTGTCCTGTCACATAAAACTTCTCACCAAACAGAGATCCTTCTGCATGTAGCCACTCATAAACATTTTTGTCACCAACTTCTGTAATAACCTTCAGCCATCATCATCTCATAAGCATAGGAGCTCTGTATACAGCTACTGCACTTGGTGTCTCACCTCAGGATGAGACATGAGACTGTCACACTGGTGGCTGCTTTCTGGAATGCTGGCATCTACAGACTACACGCTGTCATACCACAAGTGACAGTAATCTCCATGCACCTGGGCAGTTTCAGGATGTCGAGTACTTCTGGACCTAAGATGAAGGAAGTAACAGGATGGGGAAAACTGCATAATGAGCTCACAATTTGTATTCTGTACCAGATCCTACTAGGATCATTATGTCAAAGATAAGAATGGAATGACCTGCAGAACGCAGTCCCAGAACACAAACACACACACAAAATATGCTTTAAGCTCAATGGAAGCATCCACTTGCAACGCCTATGCACAAATGATAGGATAGAATTAAGCTGAATGTTATTCTAAGTCTGTCACTGTTATGATCTTGTAAACTCTGATATGATGTGAAACAACAAGTGAAGAAACAAGTTGGTCACATTACTCAGCCTTTCTTCACCCCTATAACAGGCATTACAACATATACAACCTAAAAGTGATTCTAAATATATTTGCATATTCTTGGCTATAAATACATGCAATTATGAACTACAATAATACCCAGTCCCTCTCCTATATATCTGAATGCTAGAAACTGCACTCTAATGTCAAAGTTCTGGGGCCACATCATCATCATCTGCATCACAATAGCTTTCTTCAGGATTCCAAATCACCATTAACATCTGAAGAGTGGTGTAATAATGAGTCAATACAATGTTGTGTGGTGCTTTGGAATGAAAACTTATCATTGCAACAATGTTAACTGAGACAACTTTCACTCAGGACTTTCTGTACAAATTTGTGTGAAGAGGACTGAAATAGCCAAGAAAGGCTTCTTGGATTTTCTGGATCACAGATAAACTATGAAGGAAGCCCAAGAGTCCTCCAATGAATGGATATCAAAGAATGCAGTAATGGCTCTGGTACAGATCTCATACATATTGTGACATTATTGTAACATTATCGTCACATTTTGATCTTTTTAAATCATCCCGCTACAAAATTCTACACATTATAGTTTTTAACCTAAGTCATCTACACAGCTCTTGGAAATGCAGAATCATGGGAGAAAGAGAAATTCGAGGAAATTGCAGAACACACAGTACTGTGTACCAATGGGCTGATTCACTATCGCTGCATGCAGCAGTGAAATACTGAACAACCAGCTAATGCTGTTTATGAAAATAACTGCCATACACTGTGTGGGTAGAGAGAAGAGTTCTCTAATGTTACAGCAGGCAGCATATGCAGTCACCGCAGTGCTTTAAAAGAGTTAACAAAAATACTGTCATGTGTATGTGCGACTACAGATGGGGTATGGATTGGTGGATAAATTTACTGACCACTTACAGGTCATAACTACAAATAACTATAACACTACTGCTGATTTCCATATTACAAATCACTCCATACTAAGTCTTCTCAGTCTGCCTTCTTCATCAGTTGTTGCTTGGTAACTCCTGTCGACAATGGCAATTCCTCTGCAATGTTTACACTGGACGTTTCCTGGTAATGAATCTTAATAATGGAGATTATTCAGCTTCTGTGGTCAAGCCATTGCCCATTGGTTAACACTCCACAGCTGAACTCTCCAGCTCACCAACCAGCTACTTCATGTCACTTCACTGACTGAACTGCTGACAACTCTTAACCGCAGCTTGGCCGGTGTCCTCACTATATAACCTCAGGAAGGACACAACAGAAAACACCACCTCAACAATTCTTATTGCTGTCATTGGCAGCTGCCCAGCAATAGATTGGATAGCACTTCCACGAGAATGTGTCCACCAACTGTTACTTAGAGATGTGCGTTTGTTTATCTGCCTATTGCACAGCAATAGCTGCACTTGTTCTCCAATTTGAGGGCTCTGCCAAGCAACGACTTTATACACCACAATATACAGAACACAAAGAAAATCAAAGGTGAATTTACAGGAAGCAAGACAGAAAGACAGAGCAGGCTGATGTAATGGGAACACCCTAAGCTTGCATTCAAGAGGTACTCAGATGTAATCTCGGCCAGGTCACTGAGGTTTTTTGTTGTTTTTCTCAGACCCTCCAGGCATAGGCCATGATCAGCTGATCAGTTTCTTCCAAATTAATTTCAATTCATCGTTCACCTATCATGCTACTGTTCAACGTGACCCCTCTCCAAAGACAAAACACACCAATAAACAGAGGAACATGTCATACTGATCAGTGACATCACACTCAACTGAACAGCAACTGGCTGTGGCATGCAGTGCTGTGATAACAGCTGCACAGAGAGCTCAGAATTCCTGTTACAAAGCATGGCCCTTGGGCAACTATTTATGTCCTTAATCGTTACACCATGCAGATGTAGGAGTACAGGGGACTTGAGGTCAAGCTATACACTGCAGATCTCAGCTTCATGCTATGGCTCTCTGCCCCTTGTGTACACACGACAGAAGACTTGGTGAGCGTGTACATAGTGATGTCAGTTCCACCAGAAGTTGGCCATATTTCAGTCTCTGGTGGCTGACAGATTCGTGACTCTGCATAAGCAACGAGCAGGAGTACCTGCTCTTCACCCGGGATATGGTTGCTTTCCCTGACAACAAAACAGCTGCATTTCTACATACATCAGATGCTACTGGAAACAGCTGGGAATACGAAAGTCCAATTCCAACCACGGTCACCAACGTTACAAACAAAAATTTTAACGAACCTGTTGCCTGATGACAAGAGCAGAAACAATTCCAGGAACGCCATCTGCATCAATGAACGATGCATAACATAGAGTGTTGTAACCCACAAACCAAAGATCACTCAGGGCTCCTCATTTCACTGTCATGGGATGGCCCCAAGTGTCTGTGGCAGAGGTTATCAGGAGTGCCCCATTATCTGGGGTCAATATGTATCCAGGGGTGTACAGTGAGTTGGCCTTATCCTGAACCACATAAACCCCTACAAATCTGTTATTTTTTGTGAGATACATTTTTAAGTGTTGTCTTGAAGCACTACACTACAAGCCAGGAGATCACAGGTTCAATTCCTGATGAGGTAATTGGATTTTTCAATTGACCTAATCCTTCCAGTCTAACAGAAATGAGTACCCGCAATCATCCTGAGGGTAAAGGGTGGCTGGAATGTAAGGCTGACAACCTAACTGCTATCTGTGAGCTGACTGTTTATAAAATGTGGAAGCCTCAACATTTTACAATCCTATGGCCTCCACGGAATGCTACAGGGATAGCTTTACGTTTTTTTCTCTCTAATCTATTCCCTAATTTTTTTTTTACTGGTTGCATCCTCTTGTGTGTCTCAGACACACTATGCTACCATCAACACAACAAATATTTCAATATTACATTTAGATCTTTATTTCAGTCATGCATGACCATCATCAGGCAGGAATACGTATAGTTATTGAAATACTGATACGGATCCTTATCGGTGCAACATGTCATATTAAATATTAACATAAAACTCTGCCTCAAATTACTGTATATTTAAAATAGCAAATACATGATTTTATATAAAAAAATAAAATATAAGATAGAATAAAGATGTACTATATATAAAATGTTGAAAATATATTAAAACATATAAAAGTATGTCAGAAGTATATACAAGGTATGAACACCTAAATGTAGGGTTAGGGATCTGAATGCCAACTATAATTTTATTTTAAGGGGATATCTTGCTACAGTGTAGAATTGGGCGTTTATGTTGCACCAAACTCAATACACCACCATCATCCCCAGACAATCTATGTCAAACCACCATACAGTGTAGAACACACTGTACACGACGAATGTGTATATGCCCAGACAAGAAACATACACCACACTGCAAGTTTTGTAAGTAATATCACTATATTTACAAATTCCCTATTTTTTTTATCATTACACACATTTACTTATATATTTTTCACGATTACAGATACAGGATATATAGCATGGGAACACCATACCAAATACCCACATACCGTCAAACTTGCACATTGTAAGTATTTAACATGTCATCAGTACGTGTTACTATATAGTCAAGTTATAGCACATAGACTGATACTCATTTATTGCAGATTGGACACTTGTCTTTGGGCCTCATATACCGGGCTTATTACATAGGATTTCTGCAACAAGACCTACGGAACATACACACCCAATTCTACACTGTAGCAGGATATCCCCTTAAAATAAAATTCTAGTTGGCATACAGATCTCTAACCCTACAAACAGTCGTTCATACCTTTATATATTTGTAACATACTATTTAACATGTTTCAATATATTTCAACAATTTATATATAGTACATCTTCATTCTATCTTTTATTATTTTTTTTTATAAAAATCATGTATTTGCTATTTTAACTATACAGTAATTTGAGGCAAAGTTTTATGTTAATATTTAATATGACGCATTGCACCGATAAGGATCCGTATCGGTATTTCAATAACTATACGTATTCCTGCCTGATGATGGTCATGCATGGCTGAAATAAAGATCTAAATGTAATACTGAAATATTTGATGTGTTGACAGTAGCACAGTTACTACATAGATATTATTCCCTAATGTCCTGGTCCGAGGCTTCGTGTGCATTTAAGTAACAAGGTTATTTTTTATGGTGAGGATATGCATATAGGACACTGGTATGAAAGCCAGAAGGAAAGAGCCACTGGGAAGACCGATGTGTAGGTAGGTGGACAATATTAAAATGGATCTTAGAGAGATAGGATGGGGTGGTATGGATTGGATTGATCTGGCTCAGGATAGGGACCAGTGGAGGGCTCTTGTGTACATGGTAATGAACCTTTGGGTTCCATAAAATGCTGGGAAATTCTTGAGTAGCTGCAGTTGGCTTCTCCTCAAGAAGGGCTCAGCTCCATAAGCAAGTAAATCTATTTCCTATCCCTTGAAAGTCATTTGGCTAAAATTCTGTACATATTTGTTATTACCACTGTGCAGGCTACATGCTAAGCTCATTCAATCATTCTTCAATTTGCTGTGTATGTGCAGGCTTTATCGCAATTTCTGTTGTATACTTTTCCTGATTTCTCTTTGACAAAGCCTGGTCTCAGGCATTTAACAGCTGTAGTTATACTAACATGGACTGTCCAGTGACTTAGGTTAGCTCTTTCTAAGGGACCCTACAGAGTAGGTGTCTCCCCATTGCCCGAGTATGGAAACAGATCCAGTTTCTGAAAAATTGTGTTCTCTAGTTTTCTAGAATACTGGATGGTGGACAAAGTCCAAAAACCCAGTAATTCTGAGTATTATACCCATCATCAGAACCCTCTAGAATCAATTCATTTTATTATTCTAAGAACATTAAATAAGCCAAGCAAGTTGATTCAAACAGTAACTCTATTGTCTTGTATTCATGAGGTGCCCACAGTAATAGCAATCAAAATTCCCGTTAATTTCAACATGCTCCTGAGCAATTATACCAAGGTCACTCTCCCTCATAGAGTGGTCCAGTTTCTACTTGCTCAGGGCATCACAAAGTGGGACAGTGCTGGATAAGAAAACGCCAATATCTAGTACAAATCCTTCTTACAGATCTCACACATGGCAATTGAGTAAAAAGGCCTTAACATCTGCGGAGCAAGAGGAGAGAAATGGGATGTGGGAAAAATGTTGCCAGCCTCAAATGCACTATCTTCCTGTGCCATTATCTGAGAGTCAATCCAGTTCTTCATCAACAAGCACAAACAGGCAGTGAACCTTTAACAGACGATCAGCAAATGGGAGGTGCGGAAGTAGAGTCTGCGTAGTCTAATCAGCACTCAACCAGCTTCACTGACCCAGACACAGAGGGTCCAAGGAAAGAGGTCACTTGGGGGGGGGAAGAGATTTTTCACATTTTCACACAACAAAGTGCAACTGCGTTTCAGTAACTTCTCATTTTCCATCACATCGAAGTACTTTCAATGCAATAACACTGCCATTTCAATATTATCCTCCGATCTATGCCTTGAAAAATGTATGCACAGATAGGAAAGTAATATTAGAATGGATCTTATAAAAATAGGGTCAGAGGGCGTGGAATGTATTCGCCTCCCTCAGAACAGGGACCATTGGTAAGTTTCTGTGAACAGGATAAATCTTTGGGCCCTTAAACAACAGGGAGTTGCTAAGCGACTATCAGCTTCTTTACCCCTCCACTCTATGGAGTCATGCCATAGAACATATGACATCCGTGACAAGTACTATGTTTTGGGATGTGAAGCCATGTAGTGTGGTAGATGCTTCACAGGAACATTCTTTCTCCATCTTCAGGATTGGAAGATGGGCACAGGTTCCTCCAAAATGTTGGTAACCCTCTAACAGACTACAAGTTGTTCACAACACCGAGTAGTGTCAAGTTCTGCAGGAACAGAATCCAGCTTCAGAAATGTTGGCTATGGAGCCCTCCCAAGGGGCACAACACTGACAACCAAACTCCACATTCCCTCATATGCCTGTCATGTACTCAAGAGATGTGATAGCAAGTGGCAGCTAGGTGGGGAGAGATATAAACTGGCCGCAGTGCAAAGTATCAAGCCTATCTGCAGAGGAAGCTTGGGGCAGAACTGATAATTGCAGCACAGTACAAGGTGAGTTCAAATGGCTAGCGACACTGCCAGAAGTGTGGATTCTGAAAAACATTTCACAATTTAATCATATTTCAGGGCTTGGATCGACTACAATCACCTGAGCTCCATATTATACACATTTCTCCTCTCTCACACAGAACATTAAACACCTCTTACTATGAATAAACTTATAAAGTGTTAAAAAATACTTTTATATAATAGGGCACTATGTTTTGCATGACCGAACGAGCAGAAAAATCATCCAGTCACAACACAATCAGTGACAGGCTTTTGTGAATATGATAATGGACACCCCAGTTCCAAACACGGAAATTCCTGACATGCCAAATGACTGTTAGCTTCTCAAAATGAATCGCATGTGTTGTTGTCGACGTAAATGACAGCCAAGTGTTAAAACGAATTTATATTTGTGTCAAAACGATGCACCTTGTAACTGCAGGTAGATGTTTCGTTTTTCTTCCATACAGTTATCAGCTCAATATCATAGGGTACAATACATTTACAAATTCCTGTGTCTGAAAACAAAACACAAAGATTTATAAACACAAAATTTTGTGAGTGATACCAACATCCTCTTGTCTCTTGTTTGCTACACAACCAATTGCACATTTAAAGAAAAGAAAAAACTGAGCAACAAATTCAGAGGTTCATATTTCTACACACAGAGCACTTCTCTAGAGAGGAAGATGCCAGAGGTTACACGTGGAGGTTACCCACCTGAGGGTTTTGAATACAGCCATCTTGAAATCTTTCTGTACAACCTCCTTCTGTTTCTTAGTACATTTCATGAAGACAGTGCTCTATGATATGCCACTGCATTCCAAGGAAAATGTGCCGTTTACATTTAACAATAAGTTCTGCAAACCTGTCGGGTCTGAGGTACTTCCAGTAACAACTATGAAGAGTTCTGAGATGTGATACCACACGGTTCAACAGAAGTTCACTGCCATTTTGGAGGAACATCCTAGAAGACGACATCTTCAAATGTTTCCATTTATACTGAGGCCATGGAAGAAAGTTGAGCTGTTACGCTCCTCTCTGCAGCATACTTCCCTGCATCCTGGTCCTGCTATCTAGCCATTCTGTTCACACAAATAACTTCCACTATTCACAACTGCTTTGAGCTTGTTTACATAGGCCAAACGGGGCTGGAGGGCAATACAAGAAGACAGAGGGTGGGAATTGCCCAGCACTGTCACTGCCACCATCCCCTGGCCTCACTTCCATCACATTAGTATATATGGGATGTCCACCAACAAGCTGGAGACATCCACCCCTATAGCACAAGTTCTCAGTGCCTCATACTTCTTGCATACGTCACTGTGTTAGATGCAATGTGTCTGCAAGCACAACTGTAGCACTGGTATTGCTCTGTTGCCTGTACATGGCTGTCACCTCTACAGTTATGGTGGTGGCAACACTTGGCAGTCCTGTGTCATAACACCTGTTGCAGCCATCAATATAGCAGCTGCAGCACCGGAAGAGAGACCTCTACACAGGTCATATCAGCCCCTTGTTCAGGGATGGACCACCACACAGACATAAGGCAGACCTTGAGCAAGGTCACACCAACAGCTGTAGGTGCCACACGCAGAACACCTTCCATCCATTCCACACTAGTGGACAACAGCCTGGAGAATTTGCATGGGGCAAAAATCCACAGAAAATACAGTTGACGAGTTGGTCACCACATCATCGTTACACATGTTGCTTTCACCATCTTCAACACTTCAGACTGCCACCAGAGGTTATCCAACAAATTCAAGACCCATCTGAATTCAAGCAGACTGTCCACACTCAACACAGCATGCCTGAGTTTGAGGAACCCGCTGACAGGAACACATTTGAGCTCCAGCAGTGTGAAGAGACTCAACAGCCCTACCATATGTTTCAGCCCCAGCAAGCTGCACACACTCAGCATACACAACAGAGCACATGCATGTCTGTCCAGCCCATTAACCAGAATCAATTCTGGTCCCAGCATCCTGTGTGTGTTCAGCACACATCTGAGTCTGATCAACTCATCTGGCAGAACACGTCTGACTTCTAGAGGCCAGCGCAGCATACAGACAAATACCTGAGTCAAAGAACTTTCACACTATTTCCACGAGCACAGTGGCACACATGGGGCCCACACAATAACCTGGCAGGCGACAACATGCACAGGGACCAAGATGGGCAAACTCAAGAGCATAAAGACCACCTTGGGCAGCAAATCCCAAGTCATCTGCCTGAAGTCCAAGATATTGATCAAAACATTGAATTAGCTCCTGAAGTGACAAAAAGTCATAATGCAAAACCAGCTGATGAGAGCAGCGGAGACTGCAAGCCAGACCATCAATATCAAGTTCGTGATGAATCTCCAAGACATGGCAAAGTGGCAGATGATCAAGAGAGTTAAAAGTTAATAATGAACTTAGACAACAGATGCAGTATAAATTGTCAGATGAACAAGGCATTGAACTGGTTGGTTAAATTCATCAAGATAATAAAGAACTTGGAACAACAGGAACAATGGTCAAATGGTAAAGACACTGACTTCCCTGGACAAATATAACAGGTTAATACTACCTGATAATCAAGACATGAAATTATTTGGACAAACTCATTACCTTCACAATGAATCTGAAGAAAAAATCATCAGAACTACTGTCAGATGGCCAGCCCAATGAACAAGCTGGGCAAATGCATCAAGGTAATGATTATGGACAACAGACAAAGCAACAACTTATAGGTGATCAAGCCACTGAACAAACTGGACAGATTCATCAAGATAATAACGAACTTGGACAACAGACAAAGGGCAAGTTATCCAGTGATCAAGATATGAACCTAGCTGGACAAATCCCACAAGATAATGAATGTGGATGACAGGCACAGGTCCAACTGTTAGGTGGTCAAGATACTGAACCAACTGTACAGGCATGTGATGTCTCTTGACAACAGATTCATGAAAAATACCCAAAACAACCAAAGTGCCTCAAAGTGTATCCAATACCATGATCCAAGACCCAATGTTTGAGCAACCACACGTTATCAATACTGGAGCATCTGGCGAGACAGACGCACTGAAACCACAGTGGTGGAAAAGGCTTGGCAGCACTGTCATGTCACCATACAAGAAAACCAAGGATAACATATCGCCAAACTATGAGGAAGCTAAAGAAAAGGCTCGCTGAATTGCGGGAAAGAAAAGGAAAAGTATGATGTGCCGTGAAGTGACACATAGTAACATTCTGGCAGCTAACATTACCATTTTCTCTGTTACAGCAGCCTTATATCTACACAGTCCTATCTTAACCCACAGGGCACAAGTTTTGAGGATCTCATGATGATAAACAGAAGTACTGTGTTTTTATGGAAAGTGATGCCATGTAGTTAGGCAGATGAGGCTTCAGAGGAAGCTGCTGCCTCCATCCTCATGGAAGATTGAGCTTCTATGCTAATGACATAGCAGCAGGTTCCTCTGAAACAGTGGCACCAATCTAACTATATGCTGTCATATCCCAGAGTGTGCAGTTAAAAATTGTAATGCATATCGATATGACATAAATGGGAAATCACTCAGTCAAGTGCATTTATTATTCATACGAGAGAGGAATGGAACTAAACTGAATTTGTTCTCTCTGCTTAAGACATAAATCACAGACTGTGATAAATGAGTAAATAAATGAAATGAGAGTCATCAGTGATGTCACCAAGGACTAGGGACAGTGGCCTCTTGTAATGTACACTTCTGAACACAAACGTGAGGCATCTGAGGAGCTCTGTGGTGCATGCTACTTGCACAGGTTACAGTACAGATGAGACCTGACATTCTCAAGGCAGAGAGTTAGTGTTTTAGTTCCTCCAAAATGTTGATAACCATCTGCCATGCAGGACGAAGTCACATCTAGGAGACTGCAGTCTTAATACAGTACTGTTGTTCATACAAGCCCCAACATATATGGCAGCCCCCTATTTTTCTAATAAGAAAATTGGCAAGGGGGGGTTACAAAATTGAATGTCATTCAGTTCTGAAGGTTGTAAGCAAGAAGAAGTCAAAATTATATTGTTAAGAAATAGTAAATCCAAAATATAATACCTTAATTATATTTGTAGACATTATCCAAATATCATTAGAATTAGCAGTTAGAACTCCACATAACTTCATATATATTCCTCAGAACTCAAAAACAAGGCAACCTCTTTTTTTCTGTGAGATGCTCTATTAAAAAAATGCCTTATATTTCAGACAAAATGGTAAATTAAAGAAACGAGTTAACAACAATTCTAAATTGGAACGCAGAATACAGATCACACAAATGTTGCTGCCAAATGGTGGCACAACTGCATTGCCTAATTATAGGGGATGAACACATACATGTGCCTACTGTGTATCATAATGTAGTGAAATGGGGCCGTTCAACTGCCTGCAGGTAGGCCAGGACTTAAAGCCATCTTGCTCAAACACAACATTCACCACACAACTTCCACTGACCGTGGAAACCAGCAATCAGGAGGGAAACAGGAACTGGCAAGTGTAGCAAGCCCAGGCGCAACAACTCAGATGTGATCTAGGTGCCGTGAGGAACAGATTCACAAGCACTGAAAGAAAGACGCGTTTCAAACACAGGTAAGATCTGATCACTGAATTCACTCTCTTATCTACATCAGTATGGTTCCTGTGATGCTTTTGCTGTGTGGCATGTTTTCTTCTGCTGTCCATATTTTTGTGGTTTATTTAATGATTCCATCAGTAGCTCACACTATACAGCATCAAATGAATTAGAATGAGCATGGAAGGAATCAGGCACGGTCTACTTTGAGATAAAGCTACCCCTGTAACAGACCAAGGAGGCCCATAGGGTTGTGAGACGTGGAGACTCCCACATTTTCTCTAGACAATCAGCTCACAAATGGCGGTGAGGTTGTCAGCCTCATGTGCCAGTCAGCTGCCCTTTAACCCCATGACGATTCCTGGCCGAGGAAAACCATGAAAAAACTTAGTCCCTGCCAGGACAGGATTCAAACCAGTCACCTCCCAAACACAAGTAAAAATGTTACCACCTGAGCCAACTTCATCAGGTTTACTGGCATATCTCCTTCCTAACAGCATAAAAGAGGTTACATTTTACCTCCTGTTTTGTATACTCGTATACATTCAGTAAGGTCCTCACCCTGAACAAGGGAACAGACTGAGGCTGTTTGAGAAAAGGAGGCTGGGAGAATGTTTGGATCTCAGAAAGAGGAAACTGAAGGGCTACTGCTAACACTGGTTGCATGAGGATAAGATGGGCAGGACATTTAGAATGTGTTGAAAAATAGGAAATGCAGACAAAATTTTTAACAGAAAGTTGCACAGAAAGAGATCACTTGGGAAACCAAAGCAGAGAGGGTAGAAAAAATATATTTTAGGGAAGTAAGTTGTAAAGGTGTGAAATGAGTCAGGTTCATGTTAGGAAATCTGTTGTTCATCACCATCACTACAAAAGCCCACTACTGGACACAATTTTGAACCACATCAAACTATTCCAAGACTTCAATACCTGTTTATCAACAACCATTTTAGTATCATGATCCTGTCTACACCCCCCCCTTGATATATATGTATACACACACACATTTCGAGTATTTTTGTAGCTGTGTGCACACTATAACTTCAATCCACCTCGACGGACATAACCGCTCAAGCAACAGTAAGAGCAAAGGCAATCTCTGCAAGCCATTCCCTCTCCCTTGGGTCCTGCAGGCATTCTGCAAATTAACATTCTCAGTTTCTTCATGAAGGTAATTTTGATTTCTTGGTGGCATCCCCAAATATCTGAATTTTGACAAATCTTGTTAATGATTTGTTTGTTCTGAATTTAGGTGACCAGACACCTGTCACATACTTAACTCTCTCAGTGTTTCCTTCCGGATCAACACCATTACTAACATAACACACAATGCAAAACTATCAAACAAAAACTGTGCTTAACATTCTGGTAGCAGAACCCAAAGGTTCAGCATTGCTAATGTCAAAATCTGCTAGTGATCTTGAATCACTTCCAACCACTTTCCATCCTCACAACTCGTTTGCCTAAGCTCTATCTTAATATTATCTTCTCACCTACTTTATGTTCTAAAGTGACATTTTCTTACGGCATTTATCACCAAAATTCTACATGAAATTATTTTTCCCCTCATCTCAGCTACAAATGCTGCCGCTAGATTGCATCAGTGCAACAACTCTAGCAACAGCATCTAGTCCACACCCATGACAGTAACTTAACAGATGCAAATATTAAGTGCTACAAAAAATAATGAAGCTCAATTAAATGTAGACCTGTAGGTGAAGAGGTGGCCTTCTGCACTCTCTGAAACAGGCGTGTACTGTTGCAGATGGCTGTGGTGGCAGTACTAGTGTTGGCCACACTGACAGTGGGGACCCTGGGCAAGCCTCTTCCAGGTGACTGGGATCATGAGATACGCTTCGGCCAGGATAACCATCATTTTGGACAACAATTTCAACAGAATACAGACTTAGATGACTTCCAGCAAACTCATAACCAAGACATACAACAGATTGGACAGAATCACCACTTTGAAGACTTTCAGCAAAATCAGAATGAACAACAAGATATTGAACAACTAGGGCACCAACACCAACACACACAACAGGTTGGGCAGATTCATGAATTTGAAGACTTTCAACAAAATCAGGATGAACAAGACATTGAACAACTAGGACATGAAAACCAAGACATACAGCAGGTTGGGCAGAATCATGAATTTGAAGACTTTCAACAAAATCAGAATGAACAACAAGATATTGAACAACTAGCGCACGAACACCAAGACACACAACAGGTTGGGCAGAATCACGAATTTGAAGATTTTAAACAAAATCAGAACGAACAACAAGACATCGAACAACTAGGACACCAACACCAAGACACACAACAGGTTGGGCAGAATCATGAATTTGAAGACTTTCAACAAAATCAGAATGAACAACAAGATATTGAACAACTAGGACACCAACACCAAGACACACAACAGGTTGGGCAGAATCTTGAATTTGAAGATATTCAACAAAATCAGAACGAACAACAAGACATCGAACAACTAGGACACCAACACCAAGACACACAACAGGTTGGGGAGAATCATGAATTTGAAGATATTCAACAAAATCAGAACGAACAACAAGACATTGAACAACGAGGACACCAACACCAAGACACACAACAGGTTGGGCAGAATCATGAATTTGAAGACTTTCAACAAAATCAGAATGAACAACAAGATATTGAACAACTAGGGCACGAACACCAAGACACACAACAGGTTGGGCAGAATCACGAATTTGAAGATTTTAAACAAAATCAGAATGAACAACAAGACATCGAACAACTAGGACACCAACACCAAGACACACAACAGGTTGGGCAGAATCATGAATTTGAAGACTTTCAACAAAATCAGAATGAACAACAAGATATTGAACAACTAGGGCACGAACACCAAGACACACAACAGGTTGGGCAGAATCACGAATTTGAAGATTTTAAACAAAATCAGAATGAACAACAAGACATCGAACAACTAGGACACCAACACCAAGACACACAACAGGTTGGGCAGAATCATGAATTTGAAGATTTTCAACAAAATCAGAACGAACAACAAGACACTGAACAACTAGGGCACCAAGACAAAGAACAGGTTGGGCAGAATCATGAATTTGAAGATTTTCAACAAAATCAGAATGAACAACTAGGGCACGAACACCAAGACACACAACAGTTTGGGCAAAATCACGAATTTGACGACTTTCAACAAAATCAGAATGAACAACAAGATATTGAACAACTAGCGCACCTACACCAAGACACACAAGAGGTTGGGCAGAATCATGAATTTGAAGATTTTCAACAAAATCAGAACGAACAACAAGACATTGAACAACTGGGGCACCAAGACAAACAACAGGTTGGGCAGAATCATGAATTTGAAGATTTTAAACAAAATCAGAATGAACAACTAGGGCACGAACACCAAGACACACAACAGGTTGGGCAGAATCATAAATTTGAAGACTTTCAACAAAATCAGAATGAACAACTAGGGCACGAACACCAAGACACACAACAGGTTGGGCAGAATCATAAATTTGAAGACTTTCAACAAAATCAGAATGAACAACAAGATATTGAACAACTAGGACACCAACACCAAGACACACAACAGGTTGGGCAGAATCATGAATTTGAAGACTTTCAACAAAATCAGAACGAACAACAAGACATCGAACAACTAGGGCACCAACACCAAGACACACAACAGGTTGGGCAGAATCACGAATTTGAAGACTTCCAAGAAACTCAAAACGAACAATTTGGACAATTTCATCAAACTCCAAATGAACAGGAATTTCAACAAGGAGGACAAAATGAGGATACTGAACAATTTCAAGAAAGTCAACACCACCAAGATATCGAACAAGTTGGACAACACCATGGAAACTTTGGACTACGAGACCAACAGACTCAGCAGAATGATGATGAAATAATCCAGCTTCTGGGGTCAGACAAATACTGGGGGCAGCAGCATGACCGGAACCCTGCAGTGGAACCAGCCATACCAAGGCAGCACCAGGAGGAACTGGGCTTTGAATATGTGTCAACTGAAACACCCAGATGGTGGAAGAGAATTGGTCAAAAGATCTCCGACACATATGAGAAGGCAAAGGACAAGGCACATGACCTTGCCCACAAAATTAAAGAAACAGTTGGTTAAGTATAGCAAGCAGCAATCATCGAACACACAGACTAGGCATTAGTTCTCAGCCTGTGGTCTGCAGACCAGTATTAGTTTCACGTTCCTGGTTGACCAGCATCATGGGGTGGACTATGCAAATCACCTTGCTTCATCAAACAAAGATTCATTCCTTGCATTATTATTTTTCTATTCTTAGAGTCACTGATGGTGCATGGTAGTAACAGCTGTTCCAGCAGTGTGACAGAAAAAGAATTTAGAGTAAATCACTTGAAAGAAAAGACATTTGTACAATGTTAATACCCAGCATATCTATACTGAGTAACCGACATACTTTAGTACCACAGTTGAATATAAGCTAAACAGAGGGACTTAGCAGAAAATAAAGTAACAGTCAACACCATTTAGAATTACAACAAAGTTATTTTACTTTAAAGATGTCCTTTTCTTGAGATCTAAATAATAATTCTTGTGGTGAAATGGATACATAAATGATACATAACTGTATTTTTCAGCAGTTTCCATCCAGCTCTGGGGCCCACCCAGCCTCTTGTCCAATGGGTACCTGAGACATATTCTAAAGTTGTTTTTTTAACAATGATGTATCAGGACTACAGAGTACTGATGACCGGATCAGTTGGTGGAAGGAGACTTGGTATGCGAAACTGAAGTGCTCAGAGGAAACCCGCCCCGGTACCCAGGGACTCTTTCCATATGACATGCAGCTGATTATCCACCTCCATCTTGTGCTGAGGATAAGAATGTGTGGAGCTATATCTCCATATGCCTATATGGTATGGTACTTACCTCAGCACAGGGACAATTTTACCTTAGGAATTTTCACAATGTTGTGACATCACAATCATGTACGATCATGTACGATGTATCATCGTATAAGACACTGCTGTGTGCTGTGACGGGTGAACTGCAACATCAGCAGTCATGTCCTAATTTAAGGCACTATCCTATTTTTCACTTGGAGGGACTGAGGAAAGATCATAAAAACTGTCAATACAGAAAGCCTCCAGCTGAGAATTTACACCCGAAACTTCCAAAATATGAAATAGGGGCACCAACCACAAAGCTGCAAATTTCAGTAACTTACAAGAATCTGCTCTTAAACAGAGAAACTCCCTTGTTTAATGCCCTATGCTTAAACCCCACACCATCATGCACAAAGAGACATGCAGATAAAGCTTGTCAGATTCTTAACCTACACATGAAGCTGTTCAGCTTCATGCTTTGGCTGATATAATGTGCACACTGCACAGGCTGCTTGGCAGGCAATGTTGCTCCTCTCTGCCAGATGAGGACAAAGAGACACATTCCATGCTTCTATCAGAAGCTGAATCTTAGCCAGTCTCAGTTACTGCAGTCATTCACAAGTCCTCGTGATATTAATGTTGGCCATAAATCTTTCTAATTGATACAGTTATTGCAAAATGAACTTTATAATAGTTCCTTTCATTACAGATGTATTAAAATTTTGCCAATAATAGAAGCTGGGTATAGCGACTGGCTTTGGGCTGGATGGTCGAGGGATTCGAGTTGAAAGTCCACGTGGGGACAAAGTTTCTCTCTCCTCCACATTGCCCATACCAGTTCTGGAGCCCAACCAGCCCATCAGATGGACACCAGGGGGCTTTTCCCTGGGTGTAAAGGAGCCCAGGCATGTAGCTGACCACTCTCATAAAACTAGTGTCAAGGTCAAGAATATGTGGATCTATATATACACTCCCTCATATATTTACACGATCCAGTACTTAATTAGTTAAGTGCAGGGACAACTTTATCTTTACCTGGTCTGTAGTGGACAAGATCACAAATTTTTGTCAATTTTAACAAAACAGTGAGACATTCAAACTTTTGAACATATCAGGAACATAATGGCAGCCATGTCAACTTTCTAAACAGAATAAAAATTTGCTACTGTATTAAAATTTCAATTCAGTGCATCAGTATGCAAGTGAAAAAGCAGAGCTGGCCCACTTGTAACTAAGAACAAAATCCACAATAAAGCAGAAGTTTCCATCTGTTTGAAACACAAGGTTTTCACAGCAGGAAGTATCAGGATTACAGCCTTCTGAGAAGTAACACCATAAGTTTGATGGATAGGTACTAATTTGAAGTAACATGCTGCTGCCATCTCTAGGGCAGAAGATGCTTCTAAAACATGGTACCTATCTACCAGATTACATGGTGGACCCAAGCCAGAGGAATCTGGAACACTTTCAATCTGCCAACCTCTTGGAATTTACAAATTTCAAAACAAACAATTCCACACAAAGCTTGTCCCTGCCTCCAGTATGTTATCAACTCTTACCTCTGGCAATGACTTGAAGAAATTCACAAAGCCTTTCTGTTGTGGAGCATCTGCAATACAGAAACAGATACAGTTTTTTATTGTTGTGTTGCGTCCATCTTCAGGACAGAACTCTTGTATCATCAAAATGGAGAAATCATGTTACTCTGAAATATCGGTACATACCTACCAAATTACACAGTCTAATAATCCCAAAGACATCAATCTTCAAATACCTTCACTTTTTATTACAGCTGAGTTTCGGATATTCACCAAGAATAGCTAAATGACAGAACAGTAAGATGCATTTGAATTCAAATTCTGGTGCTAAGCAACACTCAAGGTATAGGTATAGAGCGATCTAGCAACTAGGCTATTGGTTCGATTCTCGGCAGGGGAAAGGGATTTCTCTTTTCTCTATAGCGTTTAGCCCGGCTATCGCGGCCACCAAACCTGCTATACAATAGGGGCTCTACTCCCAGAGGATAAATCGGCTGTCGCATTATTTGGTCACTCACCTCCATTTACTGCCGAGGTCAATAATGGAGGAACTATAGCTACACTCTCATATATGCCTTCACGGCACAGTAATTAAGCACAAGTGACGAATTTACCTTTACCTTCATTCCTCCTCTTAGGTTTAAGGTTATGAACAAAAACAGTCAACAGAAATTCACGCATCTTACCTACAGTTAAATGTTGATTAGGCTGTACAGCCATAACTAATTTTGAAATTCGATTTGTGTCTGCTTTTACACTTAATTACGCTAATTCCCAGGTTAAAAAAGTTGCTGGTAAAACAAAACGCAGAACACAGTTACAATCGTATTTAGGCGCAACTTCCAACATCCCAACAGTTTCTACTTCCGTTTCCCCTAAGTTACAACTAAAGTCAGTTGATAACATTCGCTTGTTCTTGGTCTTTATGCAATTCACTTTCTTCGTGGTCCAGTTTAGAATTGCAGGTATTAAGAACGTTTAAAACTACATGTAGAATTTTGTTTTGCGAGAGCTTAACAGAGTTGGTCGTGGTGGCATGCTTTATGCTGAAGTTGCTCAGATTTCTCTCCATGGCACTCCATGGAGAGAATCAACTCCAATGAACACTAGAGAAGTGAAATAGGACTGGCATAGGATAGTTCCTGTCATATTTTAAAAACCAACTGCTAATTCTCAAAGCACTCAGCTTGTTTAAGGAAGGAAAGGGAGCAAAGCCATTATGACTGAAAGACAGGACACTTGGTGTTGTTAAGTACCTCATCCATATGTACCACAAGAGACCATAAATATCAGAAATGGATCTGCATAATTCATAATCTTTATCCCAAGTTTAGCAGCTTTCTTATCAGTAAATACTGTTTGAAAAACAAACATCCTTTCCATAATGTAAGGGGTTTGTTCACTGAAATGTTTTTCTAGGGAAGGAATAAGTTCTGAAATTTGTACTTCATATGCAGTACTCCTTATTGTTTCTCCAAAGTGATAATTTCAATCGGAGTACTTCTCTGGTGCAAGGCCTCATACATGTGGAATTTTAATAATTTATTTTCTTAGCTCTCATAGATGGTTTGCACTGTATTTTATTTATGCATCCCCTCTTGAAGCTGGCACAGGGGGCACAGGTGTCCAGAGATAAGGAGTAGCTCTATAGATTGGGCCCAACTGAGTAGGTTTTACCCAAAGATGGAGACAATCCAGTCTCTGAAACGTTGTTTTGAAAAATAAACATGATGGTTTCTAGATGAAGACAAGCAGATGGATAATGTCCAGAAACATATTAGTGCTAATGACCTTCAAGGGCTTGCAAAGTTTTGCAGACACCACAGAACTTGGTAACACACAATGGCAAGAGGATGATCTTGCTTATCCCACATCCTTCACAATATGCTGTAGTTTTCCCTGAGAAGCTACTTGTGTGACACTGAAGAACTACACCCAAACCCTAACCAGGGACACCACCCTGTGGCTATCCAGAATTACATATTACCCATACCCGCAAGTACCCATCAAATCTGCAGGGCCATCTCTCACAACCATTCCATGGTTACAGACGTAATAAAAGCGATCTTTTGTAATGGCAACTACAGGAATTCCCCAAGTTCCTTGCATCTGCCAATGTAGTCATTTTAGTTGCATATTAGAACTCCCATAGGCAATGGTTAAGTAGATGAGCAATGGTGAAAAACACTAAATTGCATACCCTCACCAGATTATGAACTTGCAACCACTGTGGAGGTTTGTCGTTCAGCACAGCACTGGGAGATTCTTTGTGTATTCCAATGTTCTCTCCAGTATTCATCTGATGAATCTTTATTTCCCACATCATTCAATATTACATATAATCTGCAGTTGCAAGAGTGTCATTAAATAACACAATCACTTTCATTCACGACCCTCAGAATTTGTTAGGCATTGACACTGCATCGTGGGGTGCTGAGTTAATTCCCAGGAGAATCACTGTGTTGTACATAATGCAGAACACCTTTCAGTCTGTCGGTGCCTGTAACAAGCACTGAGAGGTGGACAAGAGGAAAAATTTGGGAAGTGGATCAGCATTGACAGGCACCTTGAAAAACACCTGTATATTCTCGTGTCTGGTTTAATACAAAATATGCAATACAGCACTGGTCAGTATCAAATAAAATTTTGTGATATTACCCTGTGCCAAAGCTTTGATGTACCACAAACTGTAAAATAACCAAAATATGATATGGGAGCTGCATGCAACCTGTCTGTCACCAAATACACAAATTGAGATCAGGAGCCAGCCCTTCCTCTCCACCAGGTTTGCCAGCTGTCAGAGAGCAACAACGCCTTCAAGAATAAGGGTAAAGGAAATGAATGTGTCTCCTGGACTTGTGTATATATATCCACAAATTATTAGGATTCACTTCAGAAATAAATTTACACTTAACTATGGGTGTCCTCTGAACACTGCTGTACCTTGGCATGTGATGCCATGCATGCAGACTGATAGATCTTTCTGAGTTTGAAAGAACCTGCTGCCTCCATTTTCAGGGATGACAAATGTGTTCATGCTGAGGCCAGACAGTCTTCAGTGAAATATTCTGAGTGCCTTGGGCTCTGTGGACATGTGGCAACCCTGTGTAATGTACACACATTTATTACAGCTGCTTGGTAGTTAGAACACATTTAATGATCTATCAGGCACTTCATTCAAGGGGGCAACACACCCAGAGCTTGCAGGCAAATGGTCGCTGCCTCTGCTTTTGCCTGTTTCTTGTTGGGACTCGCCACACTGGGCTTGTACTCGTTGCCATTCACTCTCACCTGGAACAGACAAGTCTTGTCAGTTACACATCTAGTATTCAGATTATACTCTTCTGGGATGTGATGCCGTGCAGTTTGGTAGGCAGGTATCAAAGTCTGAGGGGACCTGCTGTTTCCATCACCAGGGTACAAGGGTCACCAAACTACATGGTGTCACATATCACAGACCTTAATGACACAACAACAATTTCTTATCACCAACTGTACAGAGAAATCACCTTGAAGAGAAAGTTCTTCCTGTGGTCAGGGCCACATTCAAAGCACAGCTCGAACTGGGGAACGCCCCACCGACGCTTGGAGCAGAATTCTACCAACAATGAGACTGGATGCTTCCCTGCAACAGCATTTGTTTAATGGATCTCATCCCACACTCAGTGAGTCAGTTATACCAACCCCATCATTCAATGAAGCAGCAATACTAATACACACTTACTCACCAACTAGGGTCTTTGTGATTGGGTTCGGTGGCAGCTGTGGCACTGGCTTTTGTACCAACTCTTCCTGTGACACCAGGCCTACCAACACACAAAAATGAAGCACGTATGAATATACAGGAATGTACCATTAGCCACCAGATGATGACACATGACATTTGAGACTCTCACGGCAGTGACACCATGCAGTATAGTAGACATTTATCAATGTTTTGGAAGAACTTGCTGCCTCCATCTTCAGGGTAGGAAGGTAGGAATATAGGAAGAAAGATGACCAGAAGAGCCACATATCACTTTCACCTGGCCGTGCCATAGCTCAGGCATTTAGTTGCTGGCTTCCCATTAGGGAAGCATGGGTTTGAGGACGGATCAGGTCATGTGGGACTTGTGGTGCACGAAGTGGCACTGGGGCAGGTTTTCTCTGAGTACTTTGGTTTCCCCTGCCAATTTGCATTCCACTGATTGCTCCACAATTATCATCATCTATCATCTGTGGCTGCAGTACCAAGTGGACTCAGTCTCACCCCATGAGAGAAAAAACAATAAATACACTTTCACCCTGAGTATGGAGGCAGCACGCTCCTCTGAAACATTTGCAACAGCCCAGTAGGCTGCACAGTGCTCTCTGTGGCTCAAAACCACATTAAGGCAATGATTCTGGAATTCTGTCTGTCCACTTCAAGTACATGTGAAGACAATATGGCAGACAAAAATGCAGCACATTGTAACCGTTCATTCTAATTGGTGGACTATTGTGCATTAATTAAATCTGTATTAAGTTAAGATTACAAAATTACAAACAAAGAGATCCGGCAGATAGCCAGCTCTTACACGTGGAAGGGACATAGTTCAAGTTTTGCTATGTGGACAGGAAGTAACATCTGGTACTTTCCTGGAATTCTGGCAGTTTCAGCAAAGTCGGAAAGTCTTTGAGAATTTGAGAGCTGACAGCTTGGGACAGCGATAACTTAAAAGTGGGACGGCCGGAGCCTCATACCCTGATCGTAATGCATCAAGGGGCTGTCAACCTTAGCATCAGGTCAGCATCTGCCAGAATCACATAGCAAAGCAACATGATTGGAAATTCAAAATTTAGGGAAACTCCTAGTTTGAAAACATAACCAATGGCAGAAGTGGAGGAGTAGATTTCTCTTGGAGTCTGGGGTTCGTGGACCTCAGGATTCAGAGGGAGTGCACTCCACCTCGAGGAGTCTTCATACAACTTTCGGCAAAGTCGGACACAAAATTTACAACTATGGCCCTTCCGTAAAGTATTATAAGTAAAGTTCAAATTAAGTGTATTAATAAATTCAGTTGTATTCAGTAAGCTGGAGGGAATTAAATGACTACTAAGTGCAACGGTCTAAAGAGGTGTGTGACTGTAGTGAAAGGTTCTTCCTGCCCTGCCCGAGCCAGACCCGTATAAGACCCGAGATATGAACTCAGCTCTACAAATTACCGAACAGAACCCAGATACTCCAGTCTTTACCTGTTCTCGCGTACCAGCTCCAACCACCACACTTCTCCTCCCTTCCCACCTAACTTCTCGACATCCACAAGAGGGAGGACGGTGAGAAGTGGAGCACAACGTAGGATAAAGGGAGGACGGTAACAACATGAACACACAAGTGCTCACCCTTCTTATCCATCTTGATCTCCAGCTGGAGGGGCTCCAGGGTACCTTCTTTGTTCTTTCCCAGGCCCTCCCCGGGCCGCCAACCCATCTTCTGCAGGAGTGCCATGCCCATACCCCCACTCACTGGTGAGGCTGTGGTGAGCTGGTCCTACACACACAAACAGTAGTGTCAGTGGAGTGCAAGGATAAGACACATTGTGACTCATGTGACTCTCAAATGGGAAGAATGCACATGGCTGTCAGTCAGCATCATGCTACGTTCTGCATCAATCCTATGACATTACTGGTTACAATTCGGATTCTGGCCCTCTGGGTTTGCATGTGGCTACTAATACTAAACCCACTGGCTCCAAAACATCAGTAATCACCTACTAAATTATGCGGTGCCATAACACAGAAGAGAACACTCTGAATCTGAATCCCAAAAGGTTTTATGTGCCGTGACTGTGCTGATCCCTGTACCCAGAACACGATATGACACACTATTTTGATGCAGGTCTAAGATTGTAGTATAAGTACATGTAAGACCCGTGTTCTACTTTATCTACAGTGGGAACAAGCATGCATCGTTGGTGGTGTAGACCGTTACATCATCGGTAGAGTTACAAGATTCTGTTTTGAACATGCTTCCAGTATTCATAACCTGCGGAGGAAACTTACACATACTTACAAGGGAATTTTATTTTGTAAGGTTGCCTACACAAGGTACAATGTACATGAAGTAACATTATGCTGACTCTGGAAGAACGAGACGGAGATATTCTTCCGTTCTGACACTGAAGCAAGCATAAGCTGGTGATTTGTTTCACACGCAGCACATCACCAGTGTTTTGAACATACAAAAAAGTATCTTTATGATCACTAGCCATTATATTCACGTGGCATATGTTACTTAACCGTACAGACAAAAACACAACTTCAGAGGGCTGTGTATTTTCTAAGCACTACATCACGCAAAATTACAGCGTCAGTCCCCTCGGGATTATTGGGATTTGGACTTTGTTTATCATCTGGTGTTCTAGAGAAAGTAAAACAGAGGGATCCAGTGTCTGAAACATTGTGTTCTCTAAAATACCGGATGATGGACAAAGTCCAAAAAACCCATAATCCTGAGTGTTATACACCAACGTTGGAGCCCTTGCAAATCTACCAGTGTCACTCCAGCCTTGTATGTTTACATGTTTGTTGTGTTGGTAAGAAAATATAAGAGATGAATCACCTACAATGAAGCAACATTCATACCAAGGCATGGTATTTCCTGGAAGTCATGCAATTATGGTCTGGTGTACCTGAGAAACACTGATTTAGAACTGTTATAACAAGATTAAAGGATCTGCACTTGAAGAATGTCTCTTGCTTACACGAGGTCAGAATCCGCTGGGACAGGTGTGTTTGCTCTAAAAACTTACACAATACAAAACTCTGAAAATAAGTAACATCACACATGAACACTCAATATTGGAACTGATACCACATGCTGGTACTCAACAATCACCACGCAGCATGACTGTGCACCAAACAAAGTGACAACAAAACTCATGTGTCCACACAGCATCAATACAAGAATATTTCAGTCTGTAGCATCAGCTTGACAGCAGCAAAGACAAGGGACATGTGGATTTACATCACTGCAAGAAGCAGAGCCATGTCCTCAAAATTCCACATGACAATATGGGTAATGATTACTGCTTTCAAAATATTCTTATTTTGATATGATATTCTACAGATCTGTGAGTTTTGATGTATGCCAGTTGCCAGATGTCCACCATCTCAGAAGGCATTATATAAGAAAGCCATTAATTTTTAATTAAAATAAAAGCAAACAAGTTAGGAAATGCATGCACAGCTTAACAATTTTGTCATCTTCACTCCCTTCTGTTTACCCCAAGAAATGTAAGATTTATAAACATCTGGCAAGTTAGGCTTGAGATATATTATAGGTCATCATATCGTCAGTTAACTGCTGTAATAATATTCCACAGCATCACATTCGGTGGTTGTTGAGTTGCTATGCACAGACACTGCTGGGCAAATAGGGACATTTTGCTACTTCTTGGTGCAACAGCACCAAAATCAGAGTGTGGCTTTGAACTCTCAGCTTCAGCAGTGACTCAAGATGTGTATGATTCAGATGCAGAACTCTTGTGCCAAAGATCTTGAGGCTGAGATTGCCTGGAGCCAATATGAAGTTTTGCGAGGCATTCCTGCTGGCCAGTGTGGACAGCGGGCTCCCTGACCGACATGAAGATCAATAGGGGCCATGGATGTCACGCATGGGAATATTATCTACAACTGGGAGCTACCCTAACCATGGGACCTAAATATTAATTACAAACAGTGACAGGCAGCCCTAGTGACACAGACTAGGGCCCTGTAGGGGGGGGGTCCATGAACTTACCCATGCTGAAGTGTCTACTCACCGTTCCACGGCCCTCTTGCTTCACTGATGTTTGCAGGCTGCGGCATGCTCTTCCTCTGATGATCTCATCTTGCTAGAGGCCTGTAACAAATCTTCAGGTGTTTGGCAGCTGGCAACACTTCTGCCTGCATTTGTGCCTGCAGGTGTTGTCAACTGCTCAGGGCTACTCCCCTTACAGGCCCAGAATCCACCCCCAGACAGGGGATGGTCTGAGCCTGCATTACAAACTTCACTTAGTTTGCACCTGAAAATTTGTTAGTGGCCAACACGGTAAGATACACAACCACTTACAGTAAAACCCAAAATCAGTTGGGATATATGCAACATTTTGTATGTGCTGCTTATGGCCTCACTACTGAATTATTACAGAAACACAGAACTACACTTAACAAAGGCATCAGTAGCTCAAAACTACACAGCATTGAACAGCAGGATTAGCGAATAATGGGATTACTAAGGATGTGGATGGAACTGATTATGGCTCAATTTGTAGTATTACCTGGGAATATCCTTGAAGGGACTGAGTAAAACCATGAAAATCTCACACCTGCCAGTGTCCTGGCCAAGAATTTAACTGGGTACCTCCACACAAAAGCCAGAACCATTACGACTCTGGCAGATTATCACATTGTACTTCATCAAACATAATTATATAATATAAAAATGGGGGGCACATGGTAGCGTAGTTGGTTGAGGCACTATGCTACAAGCTAGAAGGTCACAGGTTCAAGCCCTGATGAATTGAATTTTTTAAAATTTATTTGATCCTTCGAGCCGCACTATGGCCCTGGGGTCAACTCAGCCTCTAACAGAAATGAGTACCAGGAATCTTCCTAGGGGGTAAAGGGGTGGCCGGTGCATAAGGCTGACCTCACCACCATCTGTTAACTGATTGTCTTGAAAATGTGGGAGCCTCGACGTCTCACAACCCTATGGGCCTTCATGACCTGTTACAGGGATAGTTTTGCCTTTACCTTTTATATACACATATGTCTGAAATAAAAACTGTACACCTTAATGTCATTTATATTTTGCTAACTGTTAAAATTGAGGGAAACCCCACGAGTGAGAATCAGAAATAAAAATTTGAGAGAATTTAATGATTAATCAGTCTTGAAAATGAGCAAAGGTATGATCCTAAAGCCGGGTCTAAACATGAAAATAAAGGCAAGGGGAAGGAAAAACAAGACCAAGATCGGATCAACAGGTTACAAAAGCTGTCATGCAGAGGGAAAGAAAAACACAAGAGGAAGTTCAGGGGCAGGAGGTTTGGGAACATGGAGATGGACAGACTTGGTTGCTAGACAACCCTCATAAAATAGAAATGTGTGCAGAGGATGAAGCAAAAGCCAAGTTCAGTTTCAGTTCCATGTAATATCAACTGATGTGGACCAAGATAAATTTATTGAACGTGTTTCATGACATGTCCATCAAATGCCAAATTTCATCACATCCTTCTGAGTAGTTCTTGGGACATAACATACCATGGGATAAACAGTAGTGACCTCTCTGTGAGACCCACAAAATACAGATGTAACTAGCTCATTTTAATTATCTGCTTTCGTAGTACTGGGCATGTGAACTGCCTTGTTCAATGTAAGTGCTGTGCCCATGAACCACCCATGGGGGAATTTGTGTACAGGTTGTTATGTTGGCAACTCTCTAATGTTAAAATATAATGCTAGAGTTGGCAACGTCATAGTAAACAATTTTAATAACAGACTGCGCTACATGCGCTGTTCCTAATTTCTCTACTGTTGTGTTACTACGGTTATGTGTGTAAAAACAGAATCTCTCTATTGTTATGTGTTACCATAGTTATATGTGTGAATATATATAGAACGCTCTTGTGTATCAAATGTCAGTCTTAATAAAGCAGGGTTAGCTTGAACACTGATTACTTATCATTCGATCCACGTGGAAGTAACAAAAATAACAGGTTCAACCGCAGACAGAAGAAAACATTCTGACATGTCATTACACCTGAAGCAGTTTGGATGACAGTGACAGTCACACTGGAACGAGTGAGTCATTGTTACCTGACCAGTGCCTGGGACTCTAGGTATGATCACATTAGGATGCCAGGGTCTCTTGGTCCAATGACATTAGGACTCATGCTCCCACTGAACCACTCAGAGCCTTATCCTAACATTCCCTTTCCTACATTATGTACCATTTTTGCCTGATTCCCCTCTATAATGAAAATGAAGAAAACAGGTTCCTGTGAAACTCTCAGTATGTATCTACCATACTACACGGCATCACATTCCTGAAGACCATAAACTTGTCTAGGTGTAGCAGCCTGGACTTCTATGCTGAAAGCTCCAGGTTCCTGACCAGCTGCATCTGATGCACACAGTTTCCGTTCAATTCAATTATACCAGCTGTCAGCACCATGTGCCCCCCCCCCCTTTCCCCTGCTCGTTCCACACAAAGCATTAACCAAACATTTCCTAGCCAGCTCTTCTTGCACTGTTACGGACTGATCCCAGAACACACAAACCGTAAGGGGCCCCATGGCCTTGTGTACCTTCTTGGCCCATGCTTGGTAGCCAGATGCAAGCTCTGCAGCCGTGAGCACTCGAGCACCTGTGGTACCTGTAAACTGACCTGGCTGCTGCTTCGATTCAGCCCACATCTGCATCTGCGGGTAACATGACACATCTTATTAATGGCCTCAGCACACAGCAACCTCCATTATGAAACTGTTTACTCACTGTCATACTTACACCTTTCTGAGCACGGTACATCTCTGAGATAGCCTGAACATCATTGGGGTTTTCCTGCAACTTTCGCATTGCCGTGAGTCGCTGCGACACGATGGCACCGATATCGAGTTCCTGTGACACCACAGCAAAATGCATCAGTTCTTGGCACAACCAATATTTCAAATGAATGGAGAAAACCATTCTGCATATCAGTAGAAGCTGCTATGTTCACATACAGCACCCACCTCAGTGACCATGGCGCTGGGGAACACCTGGTTCACTGCCTCCATTACAACTCTGTTTTCTGTCACCTCTGTTGCAACTACAGAGGCTGTGGGCTCTTCTTTCTTAGGTGACACTGGCACCCACTCATTCTCTGAAACAGTATACAGTAGCAGTGTTTCCTGTTGCAGGCTTGTGAAAATGGCTGTCACAATCTTACATTATCTTCTATCAGAAATAAAAGGAACTCATCCAAATAACATTTTCAAAACTTTCCTCCTTCACCTGACCCAGCAGGGAACAGGAAAAAAAACAACAGATTTTTGTCATAAAATACAAGTTGTGAAATGTATGCACAGTGTAACAACTGGGAAATACCAAGCGTGTTGGTCTAAGCTATAACACATTTTACTTGTAATTGGGAAATATTCAGTTGAACTTTCAGCCTGGAGTCTAGGTATCCTGACTGAAGTCTTTCCTGGTTTTCCTCAGTCCCTCCAGGTCCTCATTTTGGCCTGCTTCCTTCCAAATCCTTTCCAATTCATCTTTCATAAATAACCCTACCATCTGACACTATACAGGCTCAGCATTGAAAGCATCATTAAATAACCCATAAAAATTCTGGTATTTTCTCTAACTCTAACTATTCTGAAACCCGTACAACTTACGGAAAAAGTATATTGGGATAAAATGTATGTTTCATTTTTCTTACATCCTCTGTTCAAGCCATTTGTTACTGGCACAGATAAGCAGTGAGGTACAAACACAATCTGTACAAAAATGCATTCCAGTCTTCATTACTGCTGTCTGATTCTAATCTCATTTGAATGCATCTGTACCAAGCTGCAACAGCATGCCTATTAACTCGCCATATCTGTCTGTCCACCAATATCTAACAACTGAGAATTGCAGATGTTGTGAAGTTGTAGTAAAATGGGTTGACATTTCACATGAAGACCTATATGCATTTGTGCACACATTTTCAGCTTAGCGAGTTCTGTCTTCTGGGATATAATGCTGTGTAAACTTCTCAAATTCAACCCAAATTATGTGGCGTTATATCTGAGGAGATGAAACTCTTCCTAACCACCGCTGTGAGGACCAGAAGTATATATCAAAGTAAAAAATGTTTCAAACAAAAACTCCACAGTTTCTTAAATAATAAACAAACGAAAGCATATGCACAAGAATAGGTATGCTATGCATGCATTTCTAAACTTACATGCAAATGCCATTTCCAGGTACTGAAGTTTCTGAACGATTTACACCATACAATACCATTGCCCTGTTGCAGATTTCGGTATTTTCATGTATTCAGTTCTTCTGTGTAAACAGACTTACATTATTTACATTCTCCCTGAACATATCATCACCATGCTCCAGTATCTGCCACTACATCCCAGGGCACCCTGCATATGCATTTCAGAAACCCAGTGGCTAGAAGGGTGCATTTACTGAGGTGAAGCTTAAGCAGTGACTGGGAGCAAACCCAGAGAGCTATACTCACCCGACTTCCTGTGCTGCTGCCCACTGGAAACAGGGAACTGGATCCGCAACTGCTTTGACTGCTCGGCAGTCTTCTCCTGCAGTGTCTTCACTGGCAGCTGCACTGAGTTCTGTCACAGTGCAATCCACAAACATTTTAATATTATTACCCTGATCTTACAGAAGTTATTTCACTACCAATTCTGTATGCATATCAGTACATACAATCTACATGATGTAACTCCCCTGATAACAGTATGTGAAGTTCCTCACTGTGTAATTTCCTCTATTTCACAATTAACTAGTACATCTTCTGAAAGTAAGAGACCATTTGGGAGACTAAGGCAGAGATGAGAGAATAATACTACACTGGATCTTAAAGGAAAAGTGATACACTTGGTCATCGACTTACGACCAGTCGCACTTACAACCACAAAAAATGAAAAATAAAAGATGATTAAAATGTAAAGTTTTTAAAAATAAATTATAAAGATGATAAAAAGGTTAGAAAGGTTAAAAAACACTGTTAATAAATTTATGACTGACATACGACCAATCGACTTATGACCTGTCAGTCAGAACGGAAGTTGGTCGTAAGTCGACGACCAAATGTACTAGGTTCTGAATTGGACTTAACTGGCTCAGGATAGGGTCCAGTAACAGGACACAGATGCCATAATAAACCTTCAAGTTTCACACAAAATGTATGGAATGCATTGACCAGCTGAACCACGGTTTGCTCAAGGGCTGTGCTCTGTGAGGTTCATGTCTTTTAAGCTGTACCCCATTTGGCAAAATATACATATTTTCCCCCAGGAATTGATGCTTTAGCCTTTACTAAATGATACAGCAATGCAAACTTGATTTGAATCAATGACACCAAGTTGTGGAGTTCTAATGCATCATACCTAGATCCTGATGTTATAAATGATTCCTGAGAACACACAAAATTCAAGTAACGTGTCTTACTTAACGTGTGCAAGTGCACAGAGCAATGTGAAATTTGGTTAGTGTGTTGTTTTGATTGTTATGCATAAGTATGTAAGTGCATAAAACATATTTTTCATTTCAAGTCCATATACTTTTTTGGGGTGTGACTTACATTCAAGGAAATACAGAATATTTTTCTGAGCACCGTTTCAAAATCTTTATAATTTATGCTCTATTTCTGCAGAATAGGTGACCATGTGCCTTATCCACACGGAACAAGGGCCACCTGTCTGTTCTGGGATTTTGATGCTTATAAAAGGTGAGGGAGGGAGCAAGCACAGACACTCACCCTGATGTTCATCACAATTGAGGCTGGCCGTTCCTTGATCTGAAAGGGGTGGTGGAACGGTCGCTCAGTGTCACTCCCACTACTAGGGTGCTCCTCCCCTTCAGACTCACTAGACGCCTGACCGAGAGCCTCTTTCTTTGACAGCTGCTTACAGAAGTCTGTATTAACAAAAAGTGTTCAGAACTGTACTAAAGTGGGCAACACAACACAACACAACCCTGTATCTCACTGTACTCTGATTCAATTACAGGGTGCAATACATTAAATCATTAAATAACCGTTTCTCAACAGTGGTCAAGACCCTTGAGGGAGGGGGGGGGGCATAACCCACCCTAATGGGGGTCACCACATACTAAAGAATCATTTAAAAATATAGATGCAGCCATCTGCAGTTCTGGTAAATCATTAAATTGGTAAGATTTACTACCGACACTTTCAGAGAATGTAGCTGCAATGAACAGACACCAACAGCAGAAAACATCTGCAATTCTCTTGTTCATTGAAAATAGTAGCTGGATATCGTGTACTAGAGATCTGCTTCCACACACAGGACTTTTCTTCCACAAGGTTGCTCGCTCAAGGCAAGATGTTCTAGACTAGGACAATATGACACTTACTGAGCTCCACAGAAATTCTGTGTGAAGGGCAAAATGGATTCAGATGAGCATACACATGTAGTGACAGATATTTCTCTTTTCACGTTTCAATAGGAACTCAAAGAGAACTTAATGCTGGCTAAGATACTGCTTTGTTAGTCTGGAAAAAGCTCATGGTAAGTTACTACAACTAAAGCCTTAGCCATGCTGACAGTGACTGACATAACCAACCACAGCACAGGGGCTCTGCATGACACACACAATAAAAGCAAAATGCGATTCACCAGACTGGGGACCCAGCAACAGCAGAGTGAGGCAAGGTGTGGCTACTCCGTTCTTCACTTTACAGTTTGCACTGAGAGGGTTTCTAAGGAGGAACACATCAACATGAAACTGAAACAGATATGTTGCTGTTTGCAGATTGTCAAGGGCTCATAGCCACAAGTGAGTATAGACTGCAACACAATTTGACACGACATTTTTGGTTGAAAATATGAACAGTAGCAGCCTGCTACTGAATCCAATCTCCCATCTGTCCTAGGGTCTTTTAGTGGTCTCTTTCATTCTGGTATTCCAAATAAAAATATCTGTGAGTTTGTCCATTCACACATGCAAGTTAAATGCTTTCTGCACCATATCCTTCATCATCTCATTGTTCTTAAAATGTCATGTGAAGAGTACAAACTATACACACAGCCTCTCATTACGTATATATTTTTTTGTGGGTTATACAACAGTGCTTCCAACAACCAGAATATATAGCACTGAGAGCATGGATAACAGATGAACAATGATTTGGAAAGCATTTTGAAAGAAACAATAGTGGCCCAATTGTGGCGCTGTCCTGACACTGGCCTAGAGGGACTGAGAAAATGACAGGAAACTTCAATCAGGAAAGCCAGTGTCCCAACCAGATAAGATTTGAAACAAGCCCTACTACAAGGCAAGTCAAGAGAGCAACTGTGATGCTGACCAGTTCAGTTCCTCATTAATTATGTAATTCTGTCCATCCTTCTACAACTTCTTCTCTCAAAGGAAACAAAAGAATAATATTGAGATGAATCTTGGGGGAAATGGGTTCAGAAGATGAAAGCAGCTCAAGACGGGCTTCAGGGTTACCTGTGAGCTCAGCCACGCTCTTGCCTCCTGCCTTGATGGCTACCATCTTGTCTTGCGACACCACAGAGCTGGGGAGCACGCCTTGCTTCAGCAGGGTCATGGCATTCTTCCTGGCAATCTCGAGCAGCTTCTGCTTGTCTATGTGGCCCGGTGACCTGCAAAAGAGTCATCTGTCATGCTCCTCAGCAAGCTTCACAATTCGGTGTTGCTCCTGCAATCTTACTATCTACCAAGGTATTAATCCTCAGATTCTCTCTGCTGTTTTTCTTTTCAGTTCTTATTCCCTCTAACTTCCATGACTGATAATTTCCACATACTTGTCACAACCAAAATGCATGGAGTCACAACACAGGCAACAGGTTACACCACTTTCAAGTAATCATAAAATAAATAATGACAGAATTACAAATTTTATGCAACATCACAGGCAGGAGTTGATGAAAGATCCCCCGCAAAATGATTTAATACTAATGCAAGCAGAAAAACACAAGACTTTTTTGAAGAAATGGAAAACACTTGGCTTTGCATAACCTGTAATGTGCATCAGGCTGGGTGCACGAGGGGGAGGGGACAAAATGAAGAGTATCAGAGGCCTCACAGGATGCCAGTACCTGTGCCTTGAGTGGGAACGTGAACGTCGTGCTCGTTTCCTGCTGCTGCTGCTATGACTCCTCCTCCTCCTGAGACGTTCACGGCTGCTGCTACTCTCTCGGCTGTGCATCCTTTTACTGCAGCCATGACTGTGATGCCTGTCATGGCTGCTGCTACTGTGGCTTCTCTTGCTTTTCTCGTGGGACCGACTCCGACTCCTGCAAAGTCACCATAAGCCATATCATCTGCATCGCATCTCAGATGATCAGTCACTGGCTTCAAGCTACAGTGGCATGGGTTCAATCCCATATCAAGTCAGGTGGAATTTATGCCACATAAAGTGGTACTGGGCAGGTTTTCTACAAGTACTTGCTTACCCTACCAATTCTCAACACCACAAATTGCCTGACATTCATTAATGATCCCATCATCTAACACTATATAGCCTTAGTACTACTAACAGACATTACATAACCAACATTAACAGAAGATACAAGATGTGTTCTGCTCTTACAGAATCCCAAGCAGGAGCTACTTACAAAAGCAAACAGTTGGCTTAAAACCAAACCTGAAACTACATTGCCAGTGCCTGTGCAAAACTGTTATAAAACTGCTCACCTGTGGTGGTGACTGTGGTGATGGTGGCGGTGATAATGCTTGTCATCCGTGGTGGTGTGTTTCCGACAGTGCCTGTGCTGATCCTTTCTGTCTGAGCTGGTGCTGTGCTCTGCACACAGAATGAGAAAATGAGCCAGACAAGTTACAGTGACACATGTGTGCCCCCTCCCCATCTGTAGAGTGCATCTAAAAATGAAGCATCCAAACACACACAAGTGTACACCCTACATGAACAATGCATTAGTACAAACAGTACGGTCTTCGATGTTGTAAAGCCGAGTATGCTGAAGAAAGCCCAACATTTTGGAGGAGTATATTGCTTCCAATTTGATGGTCAAAGAGTAAGAATAACAAGAAAGAAGTATTTAGTTTAACTGTACTCCTCAATGCTGAATGTGATGGCAGAAATGGTATACCTGGACTCAATGCTACCAGATCATCATCAGTGGGGGATGCCTCCTTGTTGTCACTGCTATCCTCAGACAGCTCACCCTCCTCATAGCGCTCTGCCTTCAGCTTGGCCTGTTCCTCCACCTGCCGCACCGTCTCCTCGTACACAGAACTATACTTGAGGTTCTTGATGACAATCCTGCCTGGTCCTGACCTTGGCTTCATGTCTGGAAAACACAAAAGGTGCCGTTCAGAAACGGCCAACCTGCCCATCCTCATCTTGAACACCCTTTATCTCTAAGGCTCATAACTTGTCAATGTTTCTGGAGGTCTGGTGACAAGTGTTCCTTCTATGAAACACTGCAAAACTTAGTCTAAATGGACAGATTCTTGCATGTGGAGAAACAATCATTTTGAAGCACAAGGGGAGGGGGGAATGACACTCAAGTGTAGTTCAGAGTGTAAGAAGGCTCCCACCTGAAGTCAACTGTTTGGGCTGTGTAGCAGCAGGAGGTATTCCAGCCTTGGCATTGGTTTCGGCAACTTGTGAGCTGGCAGCGTGCCCTGGAGGCTCCACAACTGGCTCCTCAGATGCTGCCGGCAGACTAAGGGGAGGGGCTCTGCTACCATTTGGGTCTGCAGGTGAACACGCCACTGTTCGTTTCACATTCTTACTTCCATCAGTGGTGATCTTAATAGACACAGGTTCCATAGTTGGCATTAGTTTTGGTTCAGTCACACCGCTGTCCTTCAACTTCTTCTTTTTCTTGCCTTCACTTGGGTCTTTGTGTCTCCTACCCCCACAGCCAGTGTCATCACTGTCTTCACTATTTCCCTGCCTCTTGCTTGATTTTGTCTTCTTCTTATGCTTCTTCTCTTTTTGCTTGTGTTTCTTTTTACTCTTTTTGCTCCTTTTATTTCGAAGAGAAGTGTCTTTTTCTGCAGACTTCCGCCCTGCAACATCATGTCCATTTTCACTAATTTGTTCCACACACTCTGCAATTTTTGGTGGTTCTGCATTGAAAGACCCAAACAACTCTGACAGTATTTCGGTAGACGATTTAGTAGGAATGTCTGGCTCGCTCACATTTCGAGTGTCAACCTTATTTAAGATAGTTTTAAAATCAAATAATTCCTGCTTAACACAAAATTGTTCTTTGACTGAAGTTTTATTCACTACTGCGGCTTGTCCACTGCTCGTTGTCATTTTCAGAAACAAGTCTGTCAAACTGCCGCTAACAAGTTCGATTATAATAACGCGAACATTTGTTATGAAATTACAGATTAACAAAATTTATCATCACAATATACAGTTCATCACATCGGTACACGTATCACATTAATTCATAATGATAAATTCACACTTTCTACACAAAAGTAACGCTCACCACTACTACAGAAAACTTCATTTTGCACCGTCCTAAATTGTCCTAAAAACTTCGCTCGCGACCAACCAACGGAAATTACTGTATACCACCTTACCCATACATCCCCTCAGCTTCTGCTCCGTTCTCACAGTGCCCTCAGTGCTGCCACACTTGGAATCTCAGATCCTACGTAAATGAAATTCCCGAACGGAAATAAATTACTTTCCAAAACAGTCAGGTTAGGGTTTTATTTTATCTTCACAGATGAAATTCATTAACACTGATTACTACACTCTCGCCAAGTTGCACATGTTTCTTTTTGCATGTACGCACTACTTGCTCCCGCCCTAAGGGGTTAACGTGACCTTTTTAAAGACAGAAGTACTCCAACTACGGGTGTCTTAATCCCTGTCGTAGTCATCTCCTTTGTCTTACTGCCTGTTAACCGACGTCACATTGTATGCAATTGTATGTTCAGGTTTATTACTTGTTAATTAGTCGTCTTATATGCAATTTGCCTTTTAAAACATTTTCTGCAGTTCTTGTGTATGTATACTACGTTTCCACAAACTTTTGCCGTTTTCTGGTGTGTCTAAAAATGGTGATGATAGTGCTGTGCCTATGTCCGCATGTTAATTTTTTTTAGGTCTTCCCTGAAGATGACCAATGTTGATCGAAACTTGTAGTCCCTTCCAAAGGAATCATGTTGAAGATATCTAGTAGAGATCTGTCACCACATAAACCCTGCTGTGAATTTGTTTGAGCCATATAACATTTGAGACCACCTCTATGGTGTAGTGGTCAGAGTTCCTGGCTACAGATCCAGAAGTCCCAGGTTAGATTCCCGGCGCTGCCAGATTTTCTGAGTAGTGGGTCTGGTATATGATGTTCTGCGTTGTGTAGTCATACATTTGTACCATTTGACCCCATCTGCATGGTTAAAATACCTAAAGATGGAGTCAACACATTCCTCCAAATATTGTTATAAACCTTCAAGACAACACAGTATCACTACTTAGAGCAGTGCAAGCCTACTACAGTTTACTCTCTACAATAGGAAATTAAATTTTTACATATGCAAAAGCCTGCCATATTTTCTTTTTATTCTTAGACATGGCATTGCAAAAATATCACACAGTATAAAGCAGATGACATTATGTACTAACATTCGTGAAGTAAGGCATGCAGTACACACATCAAATGTATCTCAGCAGATCCTTTTCTTCAGTGATTGGTCCTGCTCTGTATAAATGTAATACATAAATAATAGATTGGTATAAAAGGAGCAGCCTTAAACTTGCAAAACATATTTTGTACTTCAGTAACTTTGCAAGGTGCTCAGCCACAGCATACTTCAACAGCCCCCCCTGTTTAAATAATAATTTTGAACAAGTAGCATTTTGAGACACATATGCTTTGTAGTTAAAAGAAAAAGCTGCTCTGCTTGACAACTGTCTTTGGTTTTGAATACCCATACCAGACTACTTGGGCTGCAAATTCATTTGCATTCAGCCTCTGTTGGTGGCTCTTAGATTGGGTAACAAGCCCCTTTACAGCAATGATGTGAGGAAGGAGGTGGAAACAGCTACTGATGAGCTCTGTCTTCCGGCATGTAATGTGAAGCAGAGCTCTGCCTGCTGCTTGCCTTAAGTACTCTTAAACCCTGAAGATGGAAGCAGTATAGTCCTCCAAAACATTGGTGAACTTCTACTGGACTACGCAGCATCACATCTGAGGATAGTACTCTTCATCAGTCACCACTGTCAGAACCTCATATCTGACATTACTGACCAGGTTATGGTTGGGCTTCACTGCACAGCTTACCTTTTGAGGCCAGGTTTTTGCAACACTGAAATGAAGATATCAGTACATTGTACCCTTCCATGCTGCTGGTATTCACATCTCAACATGGCGTTCTCTCACAGGTTATGGTAAACAGTGTGTCTGTTGATATTTAGATTTTCTACTCCAGTGCATGCATTGTAACAGAATCAGATAAATACAAAATGCAACTATTGGGAAGCGAGAAGCAAAATGGGTTAAATGATCCCAAATGCAGCCATTGGAAACCAATCAACCAACAATTCTAGCTGCACACTATTAATACTTTGGGGACAGTACTATGTGTTATCAAAGACATCAAAGAGTATGTAATTTAACATACAGCACGAAGATATATGGATCTGTTGTTGCAGTTATATTGTAACATGACTGACACGTCACACAACTAGACACAAACACTTTGTTGTCGTGACAGTGAAAAGGGTTAAAACATGTAATTAACCCTTCTCAGCCAATCGCAATACAGGTTACATAACTACCAGATCTTCTGAAGTATGTTCCTGAAAAACTTTCCAGAGCAACAAAATGCCAAGGAAAATGTGTGGCAATTTAACTGCGTCAATGTATCTAATTAGGAATCCATTATTCGTTGATTCAACTGCATCAGTGTTTCTAATCTCAGATAATGCAACATGCAGTCACCCTGAAATAACTAGAAACATAAAGTTAAATTATTGTTTGTGTTGGTTGATGACACTGCCTTCTCCAGAATGTGTTACTGACAGTCTAGGGCCACCCTTGTATGAATCTGGAAGGTGATGGATGTTTAGTTCTTCAAAACAAAGCAAAACCTATCCCTCACCCTGGGCTCCAAAGGCAATCCAAGACTTGTCACTCACCTTCTTAAAGAGATAAGTATTCTTCAGCACGTGTATATGTGATCTCTCAAAGAGTGCCGAGAGACTGAGAAGTTGACTAAGAGAAAGGAGAAAATTATATAGCTCATGGTGTTCACGTAGTGCTCTGAGGAGATGGTGGGAAGGTAAATGGAACACATGAATGAAACAGACATGATATAAAAATTTCGTTGAAGAATCTTGTAAGACAGGATTGAGAGAGGCCGATATTTGAAGTGACTCAGGCACAGCTACTGCGACGAATGGGAACACTCGAGTTCCATGTGAGGAAGCTACTTGCATAATGAATACTTGTCAGTGAGGAAGTATCTCTTTTCCGCTTAAGATTTGGGTCTCTTCTGTCCAATAATTTTATGTTTTACTGTGCCTTTAGCCTTGGAAAAATCCTGTACCAGGCAGAAAGTTATGTGAGACTGTGGTGTTGGAATTACCAGGCACATCAAGACACAGTTGTCTTGCTACCTACATGACTGGCTAACCACAGTCAGCAGATACATAGTCAATCAGAAAAGTTCCCACTCTTACAGAGTTGAGGGGTTCATAACCAGTTCACATCCTTGTAAAATGATAGGAAACAGAGCGCAGTCTGGTAGCACAGCGTTGAGGAAGGGACACAGGAAGGAGATGCTTCAATGCAAAATGCAACACTTATGGAAAACGTACGTATAGTATTCAGTCACAAACATGTAGATGTTTCATGTGACATATCTATGGAATCTGGAAAAATAAACAGTAACTTAATGACCGTGGTGCTAACAATAAAAAACAACTAAGAACTATAAGATAACACCACCAATGCCTCACCCCCGCTGACATGTGAGATCTGGGCGACAGAGTTTGCCCTGAGTATCACTGTCGCCAACCTGACTGCAAAAACTTGGGTGGGGGGACACTTTCATCCCTCACCCCCACTCTTGCTTTGGTACCAAACAAAACACATGTAGTTGCCGTGGCCTGGTCTGATCTAACTGCGTAAGAAGGCAGCTCGTGCTCGAGGTGTCATTTTCCTGATACGCCCCCGGCTACTCACACTGATCAACACTGCAGCAGCATCATCTGAGCTTGCATGGCTATCCTCTGCATAGTGAGTCCTGCGCCCTCGCGTTGTGCGCCGCGCACTGTGGTCACTGTCCTCACTTGCCTCACAGTATCGCACCTTGTTTGTGGCGCGGGATGGCCTGGTATCATACTGCACTCTCCTGTCTTCCTCACTCTCATCAGGAGGTACACAGTGGCGTTGACGCCTGCTCCTGTCATTGTTGCGTGTACACCGACGGTCACTATCACTGTCCTCCTGGTACCTAACCACAGTCCGCCGGCCCACTCGCAGCTGCCTTCGCCGCCCACTAGTAACACGACGCCGAGCTTGAGCAGGGCGGTAGCTATCCTCAGAGTCCCCTGAAACAGGACGCCGTCTCTTCCTACTGACAGCTGCACGCTGGGGCTGCACACGTGTCCGCTTGTGGTCTGATGCACTGCCCAAGTTGTGTGAGTTGGAACCAGATGAGGAAGATGAAGAGGCACTAGACTCAGAACTGCTACTGGTGCTGTTGTGACTATCAGACTCACTGCGAGCTCGGACCTTCGTGATACGCAAGCGGATCGAGGGCCGAGACACGGGGCCAGGGCGTGTGTGCCCATTCACCACTGTCACCACTCCTGGAACAGAGCAATGAACCTTCATCACTGTACAACTAATGTTACTGCCAAGGTCAGCACAAGCTACAAAGCCTTGCAAGAGGCAACTAGATGAAGGTGAATGATGAGCTCCACCATACAGCTGGTACTCAGTGCACAAGAGGCTGCAAGGCAGCCTGACACTACTACAATAGTTTAAATCAAATGAGGTCTCTTCACGTAACTGAGGAATGCTTTAGTGTCATACCTGTTTGTTTCTTGGGGGTTGGGGGCAGTCGTTTGCGGCGTGGTGTCTCTTCCTCCTCAGACTCACTGTCCTCACTAGCATTGGCTGGTGGTCGAGAGGGCCCTGCAAACAAGACACTCATGCTCTGATATGTCACACTGTACTGAAGTTTGCAGCATTTGAGGGGCCCTCCCCGCTGGAGTCTCTAAACAGGTGACAATCACACATGTTCATGTCATGTCATACATACTGGACGTCCCTCACAGGTTATGGTGAAAAAATTATGAGTAATTTAAATATTGCTCTGCACTATGCAATACAGTTATAGAAAAACTGGTGCAAAGACATTGCACATACTTTCTCATACGTTTCGTTATTTCGGGCAACTGTCTTTAGAGATGATTAAGATTTAATCAGAATCAGTCAAGGCATTTCCGATAAAACAAATATTTCACCTTTGGGTGACCAGAGTGCATTCCACTATTTTCTTGAAGATACAACCTATGCAGTCTCATTTAGGAATAAGGTCTCCATAAACTACTGCAATTTAATCAAAATCATTACAGCAGTTTTTGAGAAAACTGCAATTTTGTGCTTGGGAGCCACTAGTTCTGGAGCTAGAATTTTCATGTTCATTGGGCTAGGACCTATAATGAATAGCACTTGAATACCAAATATAAATAAACTCTTCCTAACCTTTCCAGCATGAGCAAGGTGCATTTACAGACACACGGACAGCATACCAAAACACACGTTTTGGATTTGGGGAGGGGGGGGGGACAAAAATGTGTAAATCTGTCACGATCTCACAATCAATTTTCCAAGACCACGTTTTGTCACATATACTATGTATAACAGACACAACACTTGCACATAACAAGGGTTTAGGCTACTTCAAAAAATGCGAGAGGCACACATCACACTAAGCTGATTATAAGGCTCTGCCCTACAGACCTGGTCGACTTCTGCCCACTGCAGGCTGACTACTGGAAGCATCTCGTGTCGCTGAGGATGTTGGTCTGGCAGACTTTCTCCTCATGCGTGCAGTGCAGAGTTTGCCAAGCACCTCTCGCCGTTGTGCACACTTCCAATTGTAGATGACAGTCTTCATATGCTCCTCAAACATGGCCGACAACCTGACTGTCATCGAGTATATCTGAAACAAGGGCACACTTCAAGTTAACATCTGGTACTCATTTCACCTGCTTGTGTGTTGACAGTGAAAAGGTGAAAAAAAAAGTTCCCATTAACTTTGTTGTGTCTGTCTGCTGAAAATCACTGATAGGATATTCATGAAATCTGATTCTGTGGAAGACTTCTTTCTTCTGAGATGGCATGTAGTTCATTGAAAGTGAACTGACATTTCGGAGGAACATGTTGCCTCCATCTTCAGTGTGAAAGCAGGGGCAAGCAGAGCCAGAAGTTACACGTCTTCATAATCACCACTGTGAGAACCTCAAATTGCACATTGATACTGGGGAGTAAACTAAAATTTGTGGATAAATTTTTTATTTGGTTAAAATCAAAGTAATGCTTTACATGAAGACATATAGTATCAGACCAGGTGCACATCTGAATCATAGATTTACTGGAATGAAGAGGTTTCAAACAAAATTTGTTGAGAAAAATTACGACATTTTACGTGCAACACTGTTATTTGTAATACTTACAACTCTCAAGGTATTTAAGCAAAAGGAGACAATCTACAATTGTCATGTACCCTTCCTAATTTCTCTGAGTTACCTACATGAAGTTCATAAAATCACCAAACAACAGGGAAGTTCTGTCACTCTAAATGTTTCATCTAAGAATACTGAAATGTGTACAAAAATAAATGCATATTGCTCAGTCACTACAGTGACTGCGCTACAAGCTGCACTATCAGGCAACAAAGGTTCAATTCCTAGGAGGGGTATGGATATCTCCTCTTCACAGCAACCAGACTGGCTCTGGGGCCCACTCATCCTCTTATCTAAAGGGTACCAGGGGCTCCTTTCCTAGAGCAAACCTCACCTCCATCTAGCACTGAGATTAATGTGCGGAGCTATACTGATTTCTCTGCTTAATTTAGCAGGGTTGTGACTTTGGATCAGGCTCATGAAGCTTAAACCGAGCACCAGTATCAAGCTCCTGAAGACAGAGGAACAGCAGTGTAACCACTACACTGCCAAATATTGTACTGAATTAGTTACAAGTGTAACTTCCATGTTTCAATGTGTCAACCATCACAACTAACTAACACAGTTATGTGACTCTGGATCCATTAGCAAGCATAAGACACAAGCTGCAAGAACTGGGCAACTCACCCGTGACCGCTTATTTGTATTGTAGTTCTTAGAGTTGATAAAGATGAGCCGCATGTCCTTGCAAAACTCAAGGGGTGACTCGTAGTTGCCCCCCAGTAGGTCCTCCTTCACAGTGCGCAGATCCATGGGTGTGTCAATCACCTGGTAGTAGTCCGGATGCTCCAGCTGATCGACAGGCATTCTGAACACATGCAATGAGCAGGAAAATGCTGCTTCATTAGACTCTACATGTACTGATTGTTGCGTTAATAATCCTGCATAGATGAAATGCATTAAAAATATGTAACAAGATGTGAGAGGTCACATATGTGGCCCTGATTACCATGCTGTGAGGTGCATGCCAACCTGAATGGTGTTGAGTCCTCACAGCTCCAGAGCATTTCCAGGAGATCCCTACATTCACGGCGCCAGTCAGTGGGAATGGCGGCCGCAGCCGCAGCCGTGCGTCGGCTCATTCTGCGCTTCTGCTGCTCCCGATGTTTGGGCATGTTGGTGCTCAAACTGGCAGCATTCCGACCGCTGCTTGGCCCAGGCTTTGCTTCCACATCCACATCGGATTCGGTATCTGATGACTTGTAGGTATCCAACAGCTGGTGGTACACTGCTGACACGTCCAGATCATTCCGGTCCCTATGAGAATTGCAAAGGCACTCTTTATATGAAGGAGCAGCAGGAGATAAATGACAAGAAAATGTAGAAGAGATAAATGAAGAAATAAGAGATACTGAGGATAAAAAGATGAATGAATGAGAAGAGGAAGAGATGAAGAAAGGAAGTGTGTCTGCCAAGTCTGTCACATAATTCAACTCATGAACGTCTTAGTTTTTAAGCATAACTCACCCCTCGGAGAGAGAATTCAACAGGAAGTCTCATCATGTGTCATACAAACTTCCCTTGCTCCCTCTGCCGCATCTCTTTTCAGGTTATCAAATGGTGGATTGAGGCTAACATTTAATACAACTTCTCAGAAAGAACATGCACAAATAGTCAACTCTAAACTGTTTCCTGTATATAGCATACTACTATACTTCAAAGGGGGCACGTGGTAGTGTAGTTGGTTGAGGCACTATGCTACAAGCTGCAAGGTCGCGGGATCAAATCCTAATGAGGTGGATTTTTTCAATTTACCTAATCCTTCCAGTCGCACTATGGCCCTGAGGTCGACTTAGCCTCTTATCAGAAATGAGTACCAGGAATATTCTTGGGGGTAAAGGGCGGCCAGCATGTAAGGCTGAAAACCTTACCACCATCTATGAGCTGATTGTCCAGAAAATGTGGGAACCTCAACATCTCACAACATGGGCCTCCATGGCCTGTTACAGGGATGCCTTTACTTTTTTTACTTTTTACTACACTTCAAATATTCACATCGAAATATCAATACTCACAGTAGACACTACTGCCATCCATTAACACACATCTGCGACCTACTACATAACTTTCATCAATGCCATGTGATAATGTTCAACAATATGTTGCTATAGCAACCTGAAATAGCATAATGACAATGATAAATCCCATGCTTACAAAACTTGTGCATGTGTACATATATATGATTTGTATTGCTGCTCAGAAACGATAAAGACTTATAACTAAGATTCAAAATTAAAATCCTGCTACATGAATTCCAAGAGAGTAATATCAACTGGACACATATAACAGTGGTACATTATAAACCTCACAAGCAACAATGAAGAGGCTGTACACAGAAGACCTAGAAGTCAGGTGAGGGGGGATCAGGGGTGGCTTTGTGGATCTTGAAACAATGTAAAGAGGCGCTGCTTACTTCATGACTCGCAGGCAGAGCTCCGTGACAATGCGGGCTTTCTTTACTATCTGGCTGCCTGGCTCATTGAACTTCTCTGCGTTGGTAGCAACGTACCGCACATCAAACTGAGCCGATGTCACACGGCGATAAAAGTGATTCTCAAATCGAGCCTGTAAAGCAAAAACACTGCATCACTTTCTAATGATCTTAGACAAAGACAAGACCCCAAGTTTCTTGTCTGCCTCCCTGTCCATCTAGGCACACGTGATGCAAAGGGAGGAACTGATGCAACGGTGATGTGGTGAAAGCTGCCACACTGTAAAGTAACGAGGGAAACACATCACATGGATGTCAGGTGTGAACTGCTACCAATGAGACATCTTTATGTGGTTTGGATAACATATTGTGGGTACAACAACACCAACTATGGGATTTTTCCTGAATTACATGATCAACTTCACAAATGCTGTATATCAGACTGTTTCTAACAGCACGGAGAATTTTATGCTTGTCTACTATTTGCACTGGCCTTTATATTGGACCACATAGTTAAACATTCAGAAACTCTACACTTTGGTCACAGTGTATTTACATACTTCACACGATTCCCTGAATAGTCAGTGATTATTTCCCTACACAGCATTAACGGGTTCATATTCCAGATTTTTAAATAATATTTACATAGACTTCAGGCTTCAAAGGGCTAAATACATCAAACTCCAAAGGTGGGAAAACCAAGAGACGTGTTAAGAATTGCTTGGAACCAAAACTGGACAAGAAACCAGTTCAGAGCACTACATTTCCATGTCCACTCACCTTGATGGTGGACAGATCAATAGGATACTCCACAATGAGGGCATAACTGGGGTAGCGATTCAAGTCAACTGGTGCTATGAACGGTTCTGCAATGGCCAGACTCATGACTTGGTCCAGACCCCGAAGTATACGTGTGCAAGTGGCATCACGGCCCCCCTGTGGCCATTCTTGCGATGTCGGTCGGTACAGTGTGGCCTGCAGCTCTTCAGGAAGGACAGGGACAGCCCCTCCAACCTGAACAGACAGATGGGGTTCACATGTCACACACAGATGTGATTTAGGTAAGAATAACACCGAAAGCGGACTGATACACCTTGTAGTGAGATCATGCATTTACATGTCACATCTGTCTGTCATCTGGGTATTAAAGTAGGTTAACCACACACATGGTAAGAGTGCTGTGTCCGATCAACATCTATCCAGACACTCAAACGATATGTGCAGACGACTATCTGGGCCCCTAAAGTGAATTTGAAAGTTAAATTTACATGTAACAATACTGTACAACAACTGCTATCTATAAAAGTTCCATTAATGTAGGTAATCCAGTGACTGAGATCAGCTCTGTCAATGGGCCCAACTGAACAGATGTCTCTCCACCCTTTTGCCTACAGACAGAAATAGACCCAAAACACTGCATTCCTTCAGAATACCAGCTGATGGGCAAGTCTAAAAACTCGCCAATCCCAAGAGTGCAATTTGCCTGTTCAGGAGACAAGTCATCTCACCTCACGTGGCAGTCGATGCTCGTCCACAGGTTCCAGGTCCCATGGACTCATCCGCTCATACTCCCCATTATCCCAGCGGACACGGTAGCACATGAACAGTGAACCAGGAAACTCCACAGGATCCAAGGTGCTCTGTGACTCTATCTGTCCTGTCCACCAGCAGTCATCGATCATGCAGCGGAAGCAATTGCCTAGCAACAGAGCAAGAGAAAGATACTTTCTGCCCACTTCTCAGTATTTAACAATGTTTCTTCAAGTGCGTAGGCTACGTGAATTAAAATGGCAGCATCGTTAAAAATAATGAACAGGGAAGGGTGTTTGAGAACTAACATTTGGGCACAATCGGACATACACAGCATGCCTAGAACAGCGGTAAAATCGACCTCATCTTTAAGTCTCATCCCTACACACAGGGTTTAAACATCCTAGAGCCCTATACACTGTACACACAAAACTACAACACAACACAGCACTCAGTCAAATAGCCTGTCCCTGGGCCAAACTACAGCTGAAGAACCAAGATGCAGGTGACAATATAATATCAAAACAGACCTTCAGGAAGCAAACTGCAAGGGTGTGAAATGCGCTAAACTGTTTTGGGATAATTTTTAATGATGGAGTATAAACCTTTAAGATGGAGAGAAAACTGCATAATAAATTTTATTATCTGTGCTCTACACCAGATATTATTAGGGTGACTAGATGAAGTAGGACAAGACTGTATACGCATAGATGGGAGAATAATATTAAACTGGATCTTAAAGAAGTATGGGGGGAGGTTGTCGACTGAATCATACGGCTCAGAAAAGATGAAAGCGTTGAAGTCTAGTGAGCATGGTAATAAACATTTTCACTGAATAAAGGGCAAACAATTTCTTGAACAGCTAAACAAACATCAGCTTCTCAGGAAGGGCTCTGTTATACACTGTTCACTTGAGTAAGAACATGTCTCTATAAACCTATTTGCATAAAATCTACTATAGAAAACCCTTTCTAAATGAGCTGCCTATAAAATTTTGTATCATTCAGGACAATCAGGGCCACTCCTGTACTCCACAGATTCTGGTGGGCCCCGAGAGATGTTTTAAACAAAATCTGCAGAAGACTTAGTAATTCTTTTTCCTTCTCTCAGAAAAGGCAATAGACTGACAGCATCTGACCTCAGTCAACACAGAGTTCAGAATGACACTGCAAGTCTGAACATTTTCAGGAGACCCACCGGGCTTCCAGTGACGTGCCAGAGCCGTTTCGTATGTCTGCCTCAGCACTAGGAAGTCCAGCACGTCGGCCATGTCGTGGTACTTGATCGTGAAATTCTCTCCTGTAAGCCGCCCATCTTCATTCATCAGTGCAAGCTTCAGGCAGCAGAGTCGTGGTGGTCGGATCTCATACTTGATGCCAATCACCTTCACAAGTTCATGAGCCTGGACACAAGAATGTCACCAGTGAGAACATCTCTACCAGCTCAGCTAATACAGACGTACCTTCTGTTCAGTGCAGCCACATGGTTTATGTTCCTCCACTTGCCACTCAACACACATGTGTATACATGTTTCAGAACACAGACAGGACATCCGAGGTCCTCACACTGTGACTGTGAAGAACACACTCTCCTGAGAAGTGGCACTGCCTTGTAGTGTACAGTGGATGTTTGGTGATGTTCCTCTGAAAAATACCAACTGAAGCATACCTTCCACTGACATTCATTGTTGCCATTTTCTGCTCCTGTTCAAAACTACTTGCTAACATATGAGAGACCACCAAGCATTAGCCTTTCATACATAACGACTGCAAAGAGGATGCAATATGCCAAACCATTACAGCATCAGACACCCTGAGGATATATACTACAGTTTCACTGCTACCAACAGAATGTGGCTGAAGTGCTGGTGTGACTCACCCTAATGGTCTGCCGTGCCCAGGGTTCACTCCTAGGTCCAACCTCATATACATTCTTTGCACGAACAGCATTCAAGTACATCTGATGACCCTGACGAAAGTACATGACCTCATCTCCCATCTGAGGATAGTAGGGAGCCTTGCGTGGAATTACCTCTGACAACCACTCAGTGGGACGGAATGCCTCTGGCACCTCAGACAGATTTGTCACGTTCGGAGCAGGTCGTCCCACCTTCCCAACAACATAAAACGAGACTCCATTACCAAAGGGCTGATGTGCTAGAATGCCAGCATGTGTAGACAATGAGAAACCCTCACCTTCTTGCTCTGTTTTGTGCGAGCAGGCCGCCGCCCAGTGTCCCCCTGTGGCAGCTGTTTGGGCACTGGTCTTCTCTTGCTGCGTTTTGGGGGCTCCAGATTCACACCTGCATCTGCAATCCAATCTGAATACTCTGAGCTCTCTGAGTCACTTGTGCTCGAGTCGCTTGAGCCGGCCAGGTCCTCTGAATGAGCCGTGGAGTCGTCTCCATCCCCTTCACTGGATGATGTACAACTGGGACTCAGGTCCAAGTTCTCAGGGTTCTGACATCACAAACACAGATGCATGAACAAACAATTGTGGACTTGCGCAACAAATAAAGAGGTGAAGAGGCGACATCTAGACTTGCCTCAAATTCGCTGGCCAAATGCTGCTCACCACGTGCAGCTCGAGTCCTATATGAGTGTTGTGTGCGCTGGCCACCACTGCGATGCTGCCTCCTGGTGCTCACACCCTGATTACATCCGACCGGCTCTGGAAGGACTGGCTGAACCTCAGCAACAGGACGCCGCCGCTGTTCCCTACGGTAAGTTTCCAACTCCAGTGATCCAAGTGCCATCCTGTACAGTTCAACACAAGCACACTGTAGCTTGCAATGGCAGTGCAAGCTGTGCATGGGGCAAAACATCGAACTGAACACAACCGATACATTTCAGTGGGTTTCCACTCCAACTCACAGTCTCTGTCTCATGTTACGCAGCATGGCTGCATCCAGGTTGCGCACTAGAGTGCGTTTGCACCAGCTGATGTTACCATCTCGCTGCCAGTTCCCACTTGACTGGCGCACACCTTCCACGTCCCCACTGCGACGCATCCCCACACGATGACCTGCACATGACACATTTTATTAACAGTGGCACTACTACATAAAAACCTGTGAAACAGTTACATGTTCCTGCTCACAGATTTAAACCATTACTCCTATCAAAGACATAACAATACACAGTATCTCCTCAGCAGATACATAACACAGGACAAGGCAGCTTGAGCTTGTAACTGCCAGTTCTAGAACTTAGCTCTCTGTCAAGTAACACACAATACACTCAAATCAGAATAGTAACTCTTACCTTCATTATGAAACTAATCCAGGAAAAGAAAAAGAAGGAAAAAAGAGAGCACCTTGTTTTACACTACAAAAATACAATACAATTATCTTGTACCTGCATAACTAGGACCACCTCCAGCTGGCGGTGAGAATTCACATGACAGCACACACCAGTTCACAACACGAGGCAACAGACAGACTTAGCAATGAGAACCACTCAGCTTGGGTTCCAAGGGCAGGGGAACTGAATGAGATTGGAGAACATAAATCACACAAACGAGATGTTGGAGACAAGAGGAGAAACATGATGTCACGCTCGGACAGAAAGAACCAAACTACTGGAGCTGGCCATGATATATGACAGATACCTAGAATAGCTCATTACCACTGGACAAGCATGCAGTTGCCTGTAGAGAGAAGGGTAGAACACCAAGGAAATACACGAGGAGAAATTGTGGGAACACACAACAGGGTATTAGTGCTTTGCAAGTGAAACTGTCAGTAAACATGCTGTTAACATTACCTTAATGGTCAGCTACGTCCACCTTGCACACATTACTCTACATGTAACCAACCAGCACTATCAACTCATTCCACACAAGAGCAATACAGACCTGATCGTGGGGATGCGATATGTCGCAGAAGGGATGGTGCAGGCTGTTGGCTGGCTGCTGGTGGGGACTGGTCATTCCCATATTGTCGGTTTGCCAGGGCCTCTATCATCTGGTCAATGTTAGAGCGAGGCTCTGGAGCTGGCAAGCCCTCGATCACTTCCTGCTGACCTGTAGGCAACAGAGGCATGCACCATGGCAGGTAGTTCCAAGTCACTGACCTTCCTCAGGGGCTTGTACCACCGGTACCACAGACAGCTTTGCAGTGTCATGTAATCTGAATGCACAACAAAGAGGACTCACACTCATTCCACATTTCTGGCATTTTCAGTTTTTTTGGTCTCTAATTCAAGGCCTCTCTCTGACTTTTGGACCATAATTACACCTGGACAAAGTAAAGTTATCACAGAGCTTAATTAAGTATCATGCCATTCATATGCATGGATGAGTGGAGGTACAGCTCCATAGATTCTTAATCTAACACAATGGATCCAGATGAATGGTCAGCTTCATGTACCAGCTACTTTAACCCCCATAGGAAAGAGCCTCAAGGACCCTATACACTGGAGACTTGGTGGGCCCCAGAGCCAATCTGGACATTGTGAAGAAGAGGAAAATCTCTTTACCTGCCTGGAATCAAAGCAGATACCTCAATCATCCAGCTCACAGCCGAGTAACTCTACATACATAGACAAATGGACTGAATGACATACAGCAAGGGGTGAAATGAATAACTGATGAGCTTCCTCACAGAGCCTGTCAGGCTCTGTACTCACCTCCTGCCCCAACAGCAATGTTGGGCACCAACTGCTCACCCCGGCAAGTCTCACGTCCAGGCACCAGGCGCTGCAGGTACGGTGGGTAGGGATTGCCATCAATGTCCACCAGGAATGGTGGGGGCATCAGGTGGGGGGCAGTCTGTGTCTGCTCATCAAGAACGTGGTGGTTTGAGTCCCGAATAAGTGGTCGGTAGTCCGTGTGGAAGAACAACTCACTTGGCAGCTGCAACATGATGAAGTAGGCTGTAACATCTGCCACGGACAGATTGCACCACATTACATCAAACATCTAAGAATCCAGAGTGTGAAAATATACCTGAAACTCATGAACATACACAGAACATCGTACTGCTGTCTTCATGGCATTAAAATGTAAAATTAGCTTTTAACATATGCAGTAAACCTTCATTATAAGAGACCCAGATTTAACGGACAATCTGGCTGTGTAGAGTTGTGAATTTTTTCAGATGTCCAGGTACTAATAAGGTTTTAAAATTAGAACACAGTTATCAAAATATTTAAAACACACACACATATAAATAATATAAAACCTTCATGTAATCACATTATGTGTCTCTGTGTTTATTGTGTGTATTGGCTATGTATCCTACAGTGCACTTCAGTGAATACCCCTTCACTCAGTTATAGCGGGCATCAGCAGTAAGAGACACCCTGCTCCCTCTGTTAGTGTGTTATAACAAAGGCTTACTGTAGTGCAAATGTGAGAGTCTCTGGAGGTGACAAGAGTGAAGCTGAGACAAGGAAACTGAATCTGCGGTTTGGATGGCATGATAATGTCAACACTTTGAAGTATGGAGTTCCACTACTTCCAACCTGACAGAAAATAGTCTCTGTCAGATAGACCAACTAGGTTGTGCTGCTTAGGGAAATAATCACTGTTTATTGTGAGAATCACAAGAAAAACAGAAATATATTGTGCAGGAAAAATGCAGATTCTGAACGTTACAGCACCTAGAGTGACAACAGCATTTTAAATGGTTAAAAACTGAAGGGTATTCAAATTTACAGCTGAAAAAATTCAGCAAAAGAGTACTTGAGAGACCTATATTTAGGATATGGCTCAGTAGTGAAGTGCTATAGAATTGTAAAAAGGGAACGTCTCAACCAGACATATGAATGTCAACTGCTCAATGAGACACTGTGTCCCAGTCCAGCAGTGTATGGTCTCACCTGGCGAAGTCTATCAGTTGGAGCACCAAACCCAAACAGCAGAATATGTCCATGCGAGTCTGTGGCAGCGAGCATGGTTCCATCTGGTGACCACTTGGCATCAAACACAGCTCCGTGCCCCTGCCCCTCAATCAGGTTCTGGAATGATGCAACAGGGCTACCTGCAAGGATGTCCCAAATGAAGATCTGCCCATCATGACCAGCACTCAGCAGGACATGCTTGTCAAACGGGTGCGCTTCCAAGACAAACACTTCATCCTTATGACCTCGTAAAACCTGAACCAGCACACCTGCAACAGCCAGCCCACACATGTGCATCCATTTCTGTGTTACTACAGTGATAAATACTGTTGGCAGTGTAGTTAATCAACACTGGAATGAAGCATAACTGAGTTTAAATTACTCCTTCCCTAACACAAATAAATATTAAAAATAAATAAATACACTCATGGAAAACTTATATGTAAATGACTGCAATGATTTGGCCATGTAAATAGAATGTATTCAACAAGAGTGGCATCAGAATTAAAATTTAACCTTTAAGTGACGGCCCTTTAAATTCCGGTAATGGCAGCGGGACGGATTTGATTTAAATACCCGCAATTTTAAAGCAATAAAAACTGTAATCATTTCCTAAAATTGCTGTGATTTCTACAATTTTTGTGATAAACGAACCAAATAAACGCTGTTTTTTTCTAGAAAGAATATAGAATCAGATATTGTAATTTACAGACTTTATAAAATTTGTAAAAATTTTTAGACTGATTCCAAGTAAAAAATTCCCAAATCTGTCGTCTGTCTACAAGAATTCAGAGTTCTTGGAACTAAGAATACTGTATGTAGAAGTTGCAACACAGCGGATGGTTTATGTAGCCATGTTTAGTCTTGCATGTCTCGAAAGATTATACACGTACTCATTTCGGTATGCAGAGATGTGGGGTGAGTATCTATTTGTATACAAGAACCCTGATTGTTTATTATCGCTTGTCGCAACACAACAAGCTCTCTGTTCTCACTCTACTGGAAGTAGATTATAAGTACTTTCATGGTTAGCATCCTAATACCACAGCCAAGCAGTTTCAAAAGCATGAACCAACCATTGCGCTGTCTGGTTTGGAAGACGCTGACATATTTCAACTCATAAACGACTCCGAATCAGATTCTTGTACCGACAATTCTGAGAGTGGCATTGAGGAAAGTGAATCAGAAATTGATTTCGACGAAGAACCATCATCTTGGTCGGCAACCTGGGGACCACCACACCAGCATGGCAAGAGGAGTGTGAATAATTATTCAGGTGGAGCTGTGGGCAAACTGTGGCAAACAGTTATAGCATCTGTCGTCGAACCTGGAAATGGACAAATAAACTATTTTTCCATCTCCTGGATCTGAACAGTTACATCCTGTTGTCACACAGAGAATTTCGTCTCGCTCTTGTGCGGAACATGCTGGAAGGGGTCCACTTCGCCCTCAACGGCCCAGGGGTCGAACCCCTGCCATTTCATTGGAGATACCTCGATTAGAGGAGCTCAAACCACATCACTGGCGGTTGATTTCGACGAAGAACCATCATCTTGGTCGGCAACCTGGGGACCACCACACCAGCATGGCAAGAGAAGTGTGAATAATTATTCAGGTGGAGCTGTGGGTAAACTGTGGCAAACAGTTATAGCATCTGTTGTCGAACCTGGAAATGGACAAATAAACTATTTTTCCATCTCCTGGATCTGAACAGTTACAGCCTGTTGTCACAGAGAATTTCGTCTCGCTCTTGTGCGGAACATGCTGGAAGGGGTCCACCTCGCCATCAACGGCCCAGGGGTCGAACCCCTGCCGTTTTATCGGAGATATCTCGATTATAGGAGGCCAAACCACATCACTGGCCGACTTCCTCTACTTCGCAATTGAGGTGTCGTGTGTGCTTTTCGCGTGGGAAACGAAGAACCGTCCAGACAAAGTGCGTGAAGTGCGACATCGGACTCTGGATTTCCGGAAGTTTCCAAGATTTCCATACAAAGCCAACATTCCGTTAGACGACACAGGTGGGAAGAGAGACAACTTATAAAGCTGGTGACCAAAAATCATGTAAGTACAAAAAGAAATTATAACTTAAAATTACATTTTAAAAAGCCGGCCGCAAGCGTGGACTGCGCGACGACATATGGCGTCATTCGTCCCCTTGACTTTATTTTAATGATGCCATATGGCGTCGCTCGGCTCTTAAAGGTTAAGGCAGAGAGACTTATGGGATAACCCAGAACAAAATGTTTCAGCCAGGTACCAGAAGACCTCAAGAAAAGAGGAAAGACCTGGCATTGAATAAAAAAGAAAGGCCATGTGAAGAAAGAAGAGAAAGGAGACATTTCGGATGCATGTAAAACAGAGTGTCAGAACAAAGATAAGATGAAACAACTGAACTCTGCACATTTGTGACAACGTACCTGAGTAAGAGCGTTAAGAGGTGTGGTTGTAAACTCACCGGTTTCTGAGTTCCAGACCTTGAGTGTGTGGTCACTGACTGCAGTTATGACCCACTTGTCACTAGAGTCCCATGACACCATCGACACCTTGAGCTTCTGCTTGCTGTCATCCTCCAGCTCTGGTGTTCTGCAGCAGACGTCACATTAAACTCAGTTTCATATAAAGCCCCCTGCAATACTAATAACACTGAACACTCGACTCAGCTTGCAAGTGCTGTTAACACTGTCACATGATTGAATGCCCCAAGAGGAAGGGTCAAATATTCTGGGAGGCTGCGGTATTGGTCAGTCCTAGAAAAAAAAAGTGTGTATGTTCATGGGACCTATTCCAAATGGTTTCCAAGAGAGCGCTATTTCACTGCACAGTTCCAAAATTGTTGATAAGAAGGAGATATTATGTACAGTTTCTAATACTGGTATTTATTGTTCACATGACAAAGTTTATACAGTTTACCTGCTATAATACATTTTTTAAAATTCCACTGTCAACATCAATGCACTTTGCAATTCATGTGAGGCCATGGCGTGTTGCTTGTCTGAGTGCATCTTGACATTCCTTTGTATGGCCAATGATTGATGTGATCGAGCAGTTCATCTCATGTATCCACTTTTTTTTCTGTACAATTCACCCTTCATCTCAACCCATAAACAAAAATCTAACTGGGTTAGGTCTGGAGATCTTGGTGGCCCATTAAAGGTGCTGTCACAACCATATCCACCGATACGGGAAGTGTCACCGAGATGTTGCATCGCAAGTCAGGTATAATGACAAGGAGCTCCGTCATGCTGAAAGCACATAGCAATCCGTGTATCCAAAGGAACATCCTCTAGTTGTTTTGGTGATCCATTTTGTAGAAAGTCTAGGTAATTATGTCCTGTCATAAAATCATCTAAAATAATGGGGCCAATCAAGATGTCATTGATCATACCACACCTCACATTGATAGAGAAGCAATACTGAAAATTTGTTTCCACAGTACCATGTGGATTGTTGTGAGACCATCAACGCAAGTAATGTGTTGTTGATTCCATTATGGGTGAAAGTGGCTTCATAAGTGAATTCTATTAATGGGAGAAATTGGCGATTAGTATGTAACCAATGACAGAAATCTACATGCATGGAACTATCCCCTAGATGGGGGAGAAACGGGTACAAGCCATCATCATTCAATGTTCAGCATACACATGTTTGTGTAACACTGAGAGGTGCAGAAGGTCTTCACATGTTAGTAGTAGGGCTACACTGTACCAATCTAGAATGTTCTTCTGTTCCTCCACATGTTGTTGACGTGCTCTCAGATGAAACATGAGCACTGGGAAGTGTCCCACATTCATGCAATACATTGAACACCTTGAAAAACACTTGTAGTCCTTCTGAAATATAAATGCCATTTTGGTGAAAAAGCAAGAAAGAAAGAAAGAAAGGGACCACTATGAAGGCGTAGATGTCAAAAGGAAAATAATATTAAAATAATCTTAAGAGATATAGGATTGGGTGGAATGGACTTGATCAATCTGGCTCAGGATACGGACCAGTGGAGGGCTCTTGTGAATGTGGTAATGAACCTTCAGGTTCTGTAAGATGTCATGATATTCTTGAGTAGCAGAATAACTGGTGGTTTCTCAAGGACTCAGCTCCATGGAGTTAGTCAGTTACATGCACCACTACTGTAAGGGAACAGTGATAACAAGCCTTCTGGTACCACAGGGATGATAATCATCCTCGAACATGGATTATAAATCTCCCAGCTTCTACAAAGCTGGTGGCCACATTTAAACTTTTAGGTAACGGTGCCAGAAGCGATGAAGTGCAATGCTTGCTCAGGTGGACTGTTGTTGTGATGCACGGCCAGTAAAGGTTCATACTTGCTCATTATTTAACTATAATTCCAAGTCTCAAGGTACTGATGTTTAAAAAAGTACCAAATTCTGAGCTACTTAAATCTAACCCACTCACCCAGGCATCTTGGAGCTCATGACCAGCTGGAGTGAACTCCAGCGCTGGCGTTCAAAGTGCCAGATGTGGGCAGTCCCATCCTTGCTGCCTGAGATAAAGCGAAGCCCATGATTAGCCCATTGAATGCTGTCCACTCGGTCAGAGTGAGCCTCATTTTCCAGGATGCGGTGGGGCCCCTCTTCGCCGACCATGAGATACACCCTGGAACAGAACTGATGCATTACAGATTCCCCCACGGCCTTACACTAAACACGGCCAACTGAGTTACATTATCAACAATGCTACAAAATATCCCTCAAGGGCTACAGTATATAACAGTGGATTAATGAAAGTGATATCTGTGGAAACTTTGGCTAGAAATGAAAACTGCCAAATTTCCCATTGAATATTCAATATGTATTCCATTACTGTTATTAAATAGTATGTCATATATGTTACTAAGAATGTTTACTGCTACAATGCCAAAAGCAATAAAGGGTAGAGCAGTTACTCTGAAAATAATTTTGTTTTTCCTAAGACTCTGCTCATTAACCTTTATCGGACGGGCCATTTAATTTCCGGGAGGGGCAGCTGGACGGAGTTTATTTAAATGCCCGCCTTACTAGAGCAATGAAATTGTAAGCATGTTTCTAAAAATGGTGTGATTTCTACATTTTTTATGATAAACGAACGAAATGAACGCTCCTTTAATCTAGAAAGAATATAGAATCAGATATTCTAATTTACAGATTTTAATATCTGTAAAATTTTTTTACACTGATTCCAAAAAAAAAATTTCCAGAGATTCATACATTTTCTGCACCATGCGTTCCAGCAGTGTAATACATTTTCTGCACCATGCGTTTTAGCAGTGTAAGTCCTTTGTGGCGACCTCACATACAATGCTATCTCTTGTTGAAGCTTATTTATCGTATGGCACATGTCGGTATGCAGGACTGTGGGCGTCTGAAATCGCTCGCTGTGTAATATCTGTTAGAAAGACACAGGAGTACATTCTCGGAATATGGTGTTGCCAGATCAGTCATTCGTTCATTCATTGCAGTCAAACCATTGTGTTTGTAACGATTTTGAAACATCGCAATATAACAAATATAAATCACTCTGTCCAATGTGACCTGTAAGTTTTTTACTACAAACACCCTTACATGGTTCGGTCTCTGTGGACCATCTTCAGAGGGCAAACATCACTACAAATAGGAAACCACCATCACATAAATTGTTTAGACGTAAAGTACGTACACTTATATGCTACAATACATAGTACACAAAATTGAACATTTCACAAACACAGCAGTTTCCTGGGAATGTAAAGTTCTTTATAAAATTATATAAAATTTCCTGATGCTAATTAAAAAATTTTTGGATTGTCAATAATTAAAATTCGTAAACCATGCAGGCTCGTGTTTGTCCTCCCATCGTCCCTCTTATATGGGGCAGATATTGTGCCACCTGGCTATCTTGATGTGGAGGTTCTTTATATCATCCAGGCTTTGCTCATGGCTGCTGTGCTGTTTTCAGTGTTTCTAGTATGTTTGAAGCAGATATTGAGTTCAGCCAAGACGTGAATGAGATTTTTGTATGTGTGGGCACGAGGTTATGATTTATGGCTTCTGGTCATGGTCTAAGCACAGAGAGATTTTGTGCTGGCAGTAAACCATTCACTGCTAGAGTGCCGTATAGTTCACCATGGCCACACGACGACGTTGTCGTATGGAAGATGCTGAAATTGAGAAACAGCTGTTCAACGACACAGATTCGGACTGCTATTTAACCGATTCTGAGAGTGGCGAGGAAAGTTGGAGTTCTGATGCTGAAATTGAGAAACAGCTGTTCAATGACACAGATTCGGACTGCTATTCAACCGATTCTGAGAGTGACAAGGAAAGTTGGAGTTCTGATTCCGCGGACGAAGGGTCATCATCTTTGTTGGCAACTTGGGGACCGCCAGACCAGTGTGGCTGGAGAGGTGTGAATAATTATTCTGGTGTAGCTGCAGTGATAAATATCACTGCAGCTCCACACGTGAATAAGGATTCCACCCCTCTCTGCGTTTTCATGCTGTACTTTGCGGGGATTATCCATCTGCTGGTGGAAGAGACGAATAGGTACTATCACCAGTACCTAGACAGACTTGAAGACGGAACATCTCCACGGCCTGACGTAATTGAATCCGAGATGTTTCTGTTTCTAGGAATAATCATTCAAATGGGACATGACATTAGAGACACACTAAAGGACTACTGGTCGACTGCTGAACAATTTGCCACGCCTTTCTACTCTAACACAATGAAAAGCGACCGTTTTCTTCACATTCTTCGTTTTCTACATTTTGCAGGAGGGATCACACAGGAGGGAAGGCTGTCACCTTATAAAGGTTGTGACCAAAAATCATATAAATAGAACAACAATTTATATTTTAAATTTAATTTTAAAAAAATCTTTACACGCGTGGAATGCGCGACATCATATGATGTCGTTCGGCCATTTGGCCTTACTTTTAACATCATATGACGTCGCTAGATTACATTAGATCATGCAGGAAGGAAGGCTGTCTCCTTATAAAGGTGGTGACCAAAAATCATGTAAATAGAACAATTTATATTTTTAATTTAATTTTAAAAAACCTTACACGCGTGGAATCCATGACATCATATGATGTCGTTCGGCCAGCTGCCCTAACTTTTAACGACATCATATGATGACGTTCGTCCGATAAAGGTTAAACAAATTATAGACAGCAAATGAGAGACTGTACAAGAATGTAATGAGCTCCCATGCAAAATGGAAAACAAATTAGATATAACAAGGTCACTTCATGTCTCTCAAGTAATTTTAATGTGAATATCAACTACTTAGTCTTCTACGTTGAAGATCAGAAACAAAATATAGGTTACAGAACACCTGATATATACATTTGATACAGTTTGTAAATGCAACACTTCACAGAATTTTGGTTAGAACATTACTTAGTTCAGGTTTTCATGCAATTACCTAAATTACTTTGAATATAAGATACCCTTGAATTTAAGACGCATTCAGTTTTTAAATGTGGGTCTTAGGGAAAAAATTAGAAAGGTGCATATCCCTCAAATTTAAGACACACCTCGATTTTTCAATGGGGAAAAATGTGTAAAATGTGAGCCTTTTATTTTAAGTAATACAATACACACTGAAAACTTGAACTAAATACTATTCTAACCAAAAATATGTGAAAGGTTGCATTTAAAGGACTGTATAACACATACAAATCAAGTGCTCAACTAATGCAGGATGCTCAAGCACAAGATCCATTTCCAGAAACAAGTTTAAATAGAATATTTACTAATTTTCAAATGCATATTTAGAAACTTAGAAAACAATTAAATTGCAGGCTGGTTGTGCCTAAGTAAAATGGGAAGAAGCAAAACTCCTGTTGATATCAAACTACCTACCAGCCTAATTACAGCAGATGTTTTCACTGGGACTCACCTGACGTGATGATCTGCACTACCTGCTGCCAAGAACATTCCTCCAGGGCTGAACGATGCACAGATCATCTGAGCCTGTCCTGGTCGCATCCTCTCATTGTACTGAATGGGCTTTGGGCTGTAACAAGTACAGTCAATTGCCATTCATGCATACAATGTCCTGGGATGAGAAGGAATACACAATAGGACAATCCATGGATTAGCAACAAGATGATCAATAACTTCCCCAGTTATCAGCTGACCTGATGATACAATATATGCAAACGACCAACTATGTACCTCACCACTTAACACTAATGTATTAGATAGAAATCACATCTTTCTACACAACCTGACAGAAATGTATCAATAAGAAGTGCCAGGCATAACTCACAATGCCTACTTTTTTTGTTATTTCAGAAATTTCTTGCCCTACAGATGCACAATTCTGGGTGGGGTCCAGCTGTACGCTGCTCAGTGCTGAAGACAGATGCGGTATTGCTTAGTTGGCCAGAATTCAGTACTACAGAGACTTCTTGTAACTTCACAGAACAGCAGCCAGGTGGGTCTTGAAGTGGGTGGACAGTTAAATCTGAGCAAAATGTTGGATCTCTTTTCCTAGGGTAAAGACAGCCAGAGTGTAACGCACTCACAGGAATGTATATTTCCCAGGACAGAGGCGACTGTAGCTCCAGAAAGAAACTGAACCATCTGAACTGGTGGACACCAGGTAGCGAACATTCCCTCGAACCAGTGGACAGAAATGAACAGAAGTGATCATGCCCGTGTGGCCCGTAAGCACTGCCACCTGCAAATATGAGACCATAAAACCATAAGTTTTCATGTCCCTGTTCTGCGCTTATAATGTTAATTTTCATTTCAAGCATCCTGTTGTGTTATTGTAAACAATACTCTAATAAAAGAATTGTATAATGTTAAAAGTTCTTGGATGTCAGTGATGTGCTACTGTGGGGTTACTGGAGTCTGAGAGCCATTCTTTACTAACAATTCAGTAAATTTGTGTGAATTCATTTCTGGGGAAATATAGTAAGGCTAACATGCACACACCAGGAACTTTTCCATTATATCAAAATTTGTTTCTGAAATTGAATTTGGACAGTACACACTGAGGTGCAAAATATGACATAACTACAGTCACAACAGCCTCTGGCCGCAGTCTCCATATCTGATGGCCTGGAATTGTGGGTGATCTAACTACACAGTACACCATTTATAAAACACAACTGCAGAATTATCCATGGAGATAAATACTAAAATTACTGGTTTCAGGACAGAAGTAAGATATGTGCTAAAGAAAGGAAAACTTACACACTAACTGGTGAATCAAGTACCTGAAAATTTCACTGTCATGCTGATCACATCAGTGTTACCAACCACATAAGTTTATCTGTAAAAACAAAACCCCAAAGCTTAACATAGGAGAGTTCAGAGATTCTGCATAATAAAAAGGAGGGGGGGGGGNCTCAACTTCAATGTGTGGCAGTGGTAAGTTTTAAAACTTGGGTCATCTGCTAAAGTATAAGTACCATGACAGGATCCTGGAGTAATTCATTATTTGGGACAAAACTACATGAAGAAATATTTAAACATACATACTGCAAATTCTGTCCAAATACTAAGATGTATAAATTAGATCTTCAAAGCTTCATCAGCCTCTAGTTATACATGAATATGAATCTACATGACACTTGCTACATGAACACAGCCTTGTGGGTGATGACAACAGGCGACTTGTGACTTCATCAGCAGAAATGAGTTTCATGAGGACTGCAGGATGAGAGAACTAAAGATTCCCCAAATAACAGTATTTATAGAAAAATACAGTAGAAACTGAGAACAATGCATCAACAGGATCAGCTCTGACAATATTAAATCATAAGTCTGGGAAGACCTCTGACATGCCAGGATTATGTCTTGTAACTTCTGTAACAGGTTTCAGTAACCTGCCTGGATACTGCAAGTGCACACAGACTTGGGGTAATGCACTCACAGGGGCTGTTGTCTGAAGACACCACACACGGAGAATCTTGTCTATGCTGCCGGCAGCCAGCAATGAGTTCTCTGTGTTCACAGCGATATCTGTAATTTCTGCCGATGCACCACGCAGCGTTACCAGCAGACGCCCATCTATTGCACTCCATATCTTGACCAGCAGGTCATCAGCTCCCTACACAGATAACATATGACTTGCTACCATCATACCACCTACGTGTATATGTCTCAAGGGGTAAAAAATAAATTTATTTATTAATGGTTTATAATGCTGCATCCTGTTGCAGTTGGCATTAGAATTTATTTTTGGTTTTGTTTATCATCCACCATGCAACAATGTTAAGATTTAAAATTATATCCTTTTAAAATTTGTCACTGCACTGCATGTTGTGGCCTACCTGGCCACCATAAGGTGCGCCAAAATTTGGGGGAACTGCTGTGCCTTCCATTCTACTGCAATCATGGGCCAGGATTCCTTGAATATAAAGCAGGGGTGCCACCCACTTGACCATGATTTCCAGTGCAACCTAATGGGGGAAGAGAGAAGTTTGTGGTTCCACCTGTCTGGCCTCAAAACCTTCTAAATCAACAGACTGATTTTCATGGTATAATCCATCACCAACAATGCCACTTCAGTTGGTCTTGCAAAATCTGGAGATGGCAGCTCCACTGATATCATTTAACAATTTGAAAAGGGATTATGCTTTTAGAATAAAGCCCAGCTTTTGTTAAGTTAATTTTTGTACAGAATGAGAAGTAGTACAGGACCAATGAGACACCTACATTTACTGTTCTGTGTGAAGGTACAGTGCTATGTTTTGCAGCTGTCTCCTTGTGTCACATGAGGATACTCAGAAGAAATTTCCTTTGATGGGACACCAAGAACCAATGGCACAGGCCAAGTGCTCTGGACATGCCTTTGGTCCTGTAACTTCAAAGTGTTCATGAAACTGTTCATACAGAGCTCATTTGGGACAGACCCTGCAAGGTGCAAATACTCACTGTGATCACATAGCGGCCACTGCGATCAAACAGCAGGCAGTAGACAGCTGACAGATGTCCTAGTGTACGGCTGAACAACTGCTGCTTGCTGTAGAGGCGAGTGGGAACAGCTTGCCTTCGCTGCAATGGTCCAGCGATCTCACGCCCCTGCAACACTCGCACTGCAATTAACAGGAACAGTGTTGTCAGTAATACAACGCAGCCAGGCAGCCAGTGGTGCAAGGTGATGAGACATCAGAACTCACCGAGATTGTGCTGCTTGGTAAAACCGACAGGGTCGATAACTGGGCAGCCATGCTGCCGTGTACCATACTGGACTATGTGAATGCTCTGCTGCTGGAGACCTGCAAGCATTACGCACAGTGCAGAAACTGGTACCTCAAGTGAGGACCATCACTGTCCCACATCCCACCTCCCTCCCTTGACCCTTCATATGGTGTTCCTTAGCACAGTGGTAACTGTATGTACCATCTCCTTTAATAATAAAATAAAATTGCATCTCGCTATAGACAGTGATTATTTCCCTAAACAGCAACCGCTGGTTACTCTTTGTAATGTGGACAGTTCTTATGAGGTAGAAACTGGATTTTTTCTACATTATTTAGATGAACTAACCATCCTGTATCAAGATACACAGCCAGACATACTGAAATAAGTAACTGAGGAACTGTGGCACTGTCAGAAACTGCACAGATGCCATTTTGGAGGCAAGTGGCATGACATTCATTCATATCAAGTTTCATTACAGTACTGTATGTAAGGCTTGTTTTCACAAGTCACACACCATCGGCAGAGCGGAGCAGGGACTGCCGACCAGCACCCAGCAAAGAGGTCACCCCAGGCACACTTGGCTTTATCTCCTTGTCCAGGATTGGGCCAATTCGGTGGCAGATGTCCAGCAGGTATGTGGGACCAATGTGCGGATACTTTCGCTCCTGAAAACATGAAGACCAAGCCTCAGTCTACACACAGAAATGCGGAATGTCAAGATGAATAGGCCATAGCACAGCTCTTCTATAAGGCCTGTGAAAATACATCAACATATTTAGTGTGGCTGGCAAAGACTGGAAGAGGAAGTCTCCTAACTGTGATAACCACTGAACTCTCAGAAAATGGCACCTGTTTCTGACAAGGAAGAAATATCATATATGTAGGGCAATCCAAAAGTTACCGAAATTTGAATTTTTCGCGCGAATGGTTATGAGTACATTGAAATACCGCTAGGAGTCTCCTCACACATCCTTCTTGAATCAGTGTGGCAAGCGGTGTCGAGTTGAGTGGTTGGGTTCATTGTTGGTGAACGTATTTCCATTGTTGTGTTTGCGTGAGTTTGCGGTTTTGTGATGGCTGACCTGAGAGAGCAGCGTGTCTGTATAAAGTTTTGTTTCAAACTTGGGAAAACCGCTGCAGAAACACACCAAATGTTGAAGCAAGCTTTTTGTGAAAACAGTTTAGGCCAGACACAAACTTACAACTGGTATAAGCGTTTTAAAAATGGCCGAACATTGACTGATGACAACGATCGTTCGGGGCGGCCATCAATGGGCAAAACAACAGAAAATGTCGCAAAAGTTAGGGATCTGATTCTGCAAGATCGTAGACTGACCATCCAAGACCTCTGTAACACCTTGGGACTAAGTTATGGTACATGTCAACGAATTTTGTCAGAGGAACTGAACATGAGGAGGATTGCGGCAAAGTTTGTGCCACGACTGCTGCAAAATGAACAGAAGCAGCATCGCTTGGAAGTCTGCAGGGAACTTCAGCAACAGCTTCAAGAGCATCCAAACTTTCTTTCGAAGGTTGTCACTGGTGACGAAAGTTGGGTTTATGGCTACGACCCTGAAAGCAAGCAGCAATCGTCGCAATGGAAGAGCCCTTCTTCACCTCGGCCAAAAAAAGCTCGACAAGTCAAGAGCAACATTAAGTCCATGTTGATCTGTGTTTTTGATATTGACGGGATTGTTCATAAGGAGTTCGTCCCTCCTGGTCAGACAGTCAATAAAGAGTTCTATCGCGATGTTCTAAGGCGTTTGAGGGAGGACATGAGGAGAAAACGTCCAGAGAAGTGGCGCACGAACGACTGGGTACTCCACCATGACAACGCACGACCACATACGGCTTACATTGTGCAGGAATTTTTGGCTAAAAACAAGATGGCAGTTGTTCCCTACCCACCGTACTCGCCAGACTTAGCTCCATTCGACTTCTTTCTCTTCCCCAAGATGAAAATCAAGTTGAAGGGGCGAAGATTTGATACAGTTGAGGAAATTCAAGCGGAAACGCAGATGGTACTAAACACCCTAACAAAGAAAGACTTCCAGGATGCATTTGAAAAGTGGCAGAAACGCTGGGATCAGTGTATGCGCTCCCAAGGGGACTACTTTGAAGGTGATGGTGCAGAATAAGATCTAGGTAAGATGTAATAGTTTTTATTAATATATTTCAGGAACTTTTGGATTGCACCATGTACATCAAAATAGAAAAGTGTCACTGAACCTGTAACCATGCAGTACCTGGGTTGAATTTCAGAATGTGTTCCTTCATCACTCCTCCTTCCTCATAGGTAAGAGACTTTAAAACTCCTATAACAGCTTCTTCCTTTGGGCTTTGAAAATTTAAAAAACCACATAAACCATGTAAGTCAATAAATTAGGTCAGGTCTGATTGATTTTTTAACAGACATGTATTAAACTGAGTATGCCTGTCATGCCATGCATAATCATTGTCATTTTCAGGTTATAACTGTCTAGTTCAGGTCCTGTTTTTGCAGTGCATACAGGACATATTTCCACAAGGACATAAATCACATTACATCGAAGCTCAAGTCCTTGTTCTCAAAGATGCACCGCATACTATTACAGTTACTTCTACAAAGATATATATATACAGGATGTCCCAGGAGGAATGGACCAAACTTCGGGAGGGTGTTCCTTATGTTAAAGTATGCCGATATAACCCAAAACACCTATGTCCAAAGTTGAATGGTTACGGAGATAATGGCCAGAGAAGTGTCAAACTTTGACCGGTGTTACACACTTGTTGATTACAAAATACATATTAAAACTG